CTCAACACGACAGACAAGAATGACACGGACACGGAAAACAAACACTTTGAGCCCTGAAGATGATCTCAATTAAGATCGAAACGTTGGCACGATAAAGAAAATGTTTTTCTAAAACCTAAGTCACACCAGACCGCATCTCACGATCTCCGAATAATTATTAATAATTCTGTAATAAAACTTTTAACTTCGGTATCTGATTCCGACAGTTTAATCCTTTCATCACTGATTTCTTCTCTCCTCCATTCCATGCTACATTCAATAGTGAACGTTCATATTAATGTTCCTTTTTACTATTCCAACTTCCCTCGGTGAATATAAAAGATTTTAAATATTTAAAATTTTGAAAATCTCAAATCCTAGAGCCGAATTCTAAAATAAAATTCCATCTTGGGAAAAGAATGATATCCCATGGTGCAAGGTACAACGCGGGGCGAAATCTGTGCCACTGCCCCAGGGTCACGCGTCTGTCAGCTGTGCTGTGCGTCTCACAATGTGCCCTGATCCATTCATTTCCCTATGCTACAAAAAGTGTTACATTACAAGATGCAAGAACCGGTCGCGCCTACTCTTCAGGATGGCCGAGCTGTAATGTATCCCGACTCGTGAGTGTGGTGCAGAGAAGGGGACTCTAGTCAGGGGAGGCGGGCATCGTAAGCATCCGAGCCATTGTGTTTTCGTTTGTGTTGGTCAAGGAGTTAATGCAATTAATAAAAATTGTGCTAGAGATCTTGGCTTCCTTTTGAGTATCATTTACACCGTACCTACAGTATACCCCATGTCTCTCTTTAACGGTTGACTCCACGCTAAAGCTCCTGGGTAACCAAGTGTATGTCTTGTTTTTAACATACTAATTTCATATGTACTCATCTTATAAACACATTTAAATAAGGACTAAAACAACAAAATAATTCCCATCCTTTAAACAGAAGACAACAACAGCGTACAGAAACCAAAGTACTCTTTGAAAGATCTACGGTAATGCGAAAGATAAGATTGATGTCGAAAACAGTCGGGTCTACAAATGCATACGAAAATCTTTCCATGCTGTTTTGATAGTGCTGAATGACCTCAGTTAGTTGCCATATTTTTTAAGGTTTTTGGCCTAAGACTCAACCTTGGAAAGGAACTAAACAATGCGAGCATACAACCATAATCAACAAAATCAGACAACCGTTATTAGAAATGGGAATTGATTATACGATCCCGGAAACATTCTTCACAACTTTCTATAAAGTCTCAATGGACTATAAAGGAGAGGAAGAACACAGGAGAGCATCAGATACAATGATATGGTACACAGATGGCTCCAAAACAAACGAAGGGAACGGATCATGCGTTTTCTGTACAAGCCCAAAACATGAGCAATCAAACTCATTAGGGAAGTACACTTCTGTCTTTCAAGCAGAAATATATGCCATCAATGCTTGTGCCCTGGAAAATCTCAAAAGAGGTTACACTGGCAAAAAATAAGACCTCATAGCCAAGCAGCCATTAAAGCATTAGCATGTAAAAGAGTCACATCAAAATTACTCAGTGAATGCACCCAAAATCTCCAAAACCTGGGGATACACAACAACCTGAAAACCCTTTTTAAAAAGATGGTTCCTACTCACAGTAAGTTGTTTCGCAACAATCCGGATTTCGAGCTCTTTAGATCATCATCAGGTTGAAAGGCTAGAAACCCTTCAACCTGATGATTGTTGCGAAACAACTTACTGAGAGTAGGAACCATCTTTTTAAAAAGGATTGAACTCCACACCCACTCCATCATTCATAATTTCTACAACCTGATGATATCTTGGGTGCCAGGGCACAGGGGAATTTTGGGTAACGACAAAGCAGACAGTCTGGCCAGAGAAGGATCTGCAAGACCATACATAGGCCCCGAACCTATACTTTGGATAACAAAAACAAATATAGAATCCTCCATCGCACTAACGGTCACTAATCATTACACATTTCAGAGATAATGTTACATTCTAGTACTACTGCTCCATACTACAACCATACTTTCCTCTGATCTCGACCCTACAATTGCTTCGGAGGAGCTCGTACAATGAATAGCCGAATGAAGCAAAAGAGGACAACTCTATAAACTAATTTGGACTCAAATCTAACGTCCCGTATGCCTGTCCTCCCAGCTTGCAAAGGTTTGGGCTTTTAATATTGTCTCAGGGCCACCAAGACCTTAGCGGTCTTGCCTAAAAAACTAAAAATAAATGAATTTTTAAAAAACCGCACGAACACTTGCGTCAATTCTTAAGGACAACCTAATTGAAAATGAACATCATTTCGCCGAAAAACTATACATGATGGGAGTTCTACGATGCACGAAAGTGCAAGACGGCCCTGAAGGACAAATGCACCGCTGTGCAGGGGCTCATCAACAGTACCTGCGATTGATTTCTAAATGACACACCTGGAAAGTATGAGACAACACCTAGACTGACAGATGCAAACAATGACAGGTTGAAAGGTTCTGGTTTTCCATTTTTTAATATAGTGTTTCACGAAATTCGTTAAAAAAATGATAAGGCAAATGATAAAATTTAATAAGGAATGCATTTGTAGTGATTTTTAGTTTTTAATATATTAAAAATTTATAAGTGTAAAGCTAATAGTGCCAGATTGTGAACTTATAATGTTTAAAAATGTGTTTGGTTCATGGTTCACGTCAATGAGAGTCGAAACTGGCCGCTTAAAAAATAATAATAAAAATAATTTTAAAAAATAATATAGAAGTGCCAAGAGGTCGACCAGGCTGGTCACAGATTTGGATTAAACATTTTTTAGTGATTTTACACTCCAAAATATCGGACACGTATCCGCCTATTCTCGTGAATAGACCCTGGTTTCGCCAAACAATTTTTTTGCGAGTTGAAATTTTTCATTTTTTAATATTTTTATTTCGCCGTACTACTTGCTCAAATCAACCATGAGGATATATCATTTTATAGTATTTTTATATAGATTGAAATAAAAATATAGTAAAAGCTATCTAAGTTTATCAATAACCAAAAAGTTTCTAAAAACCAAATATTTTTCAAGTAAACTAGACATAATTTTTTTGTGATAGTAATACGAAATCTTGTTTTAGTATTCAAAAGACCCCAAAATATAAATGTTTGTTTGAATTTCTATGTGTTAAATGTTTCCTAAAAAAAATTAATATTTTATTTTTCTAAAATGTTTCCCATGTTTGAGAAGTCGTTATCGGAATATCTGATTGAAACGGCTATAATTCAGAAACGGCTAAATAGATTTTAACGCTAAGCAGACCATTTGAAAGAAGAGGAACGTAGCTGTTTAACGACGTGTATCATTAAAATATATCCACTATTTCTATAAGAAAATACACAAAATATTAAAATTATTTGACAGAAATTAGCCTCGTTTTTTATGGAAATAATAGTCTGATTTTAATTTTTGACACTTTTATAAAACGCACTTGACAATTTATTTAAAGCGAATTATCAACCATGAAAATCGGTCAACTAGCTTTTGAAAAAAATTATGTTAGAGCTTGCACCAGGAATATTTTTTGAAGAAACCAGAGCCTATTCACAAAATTTAGCGGATACGTGTCCGATATTTTGGAGTGTAGACTCACCAAAAAATGTTTGGTCCAAATCAGTACCACACCATCCCCTTGTAAGTCAAATCAGATCAATTGCACAACTTTTTTATATAGAAAAATAATTGTTGGTAAATGCTCATTACTTTTTTAAGTATAATAAATCGTGTACTAAAAAAATTAAATTATTGAAAATTAAATTTATTGCAAATAATTAAACTCTAAACTGCAATAATTTGTAAAAGGGCTTGTTCAGTAGAAATTTCGGTTCAAAAAACATTTATATCGACAACTTTTAAAGAATGATTTCATTGTGTTTAAACAACGAAGCTTATCTACCGGTCAAAAGCAAACAAAATCAGCATTGTATATCAGTTTAATTAAAGTCGACGTAAATAATAACGCAAAGCTTAAAGCGGTGTTAACTACATAGTAAATATTTCAATATTTAAAAATATATTGCGGTCAATACATCTAATCTTTGGTAAATTAATTAAAATCTTGTTATCTATTTGGCAAAATCCAGTTTCACAATGTACGTTTATTTTTTTGCAGTTTTTCTATCTTGCATTATCTGTGGTCGTGACCCCATGCGCAATTACGTAAAGAAACGTGTTTAAACATGATAAACATATTTTTCCTATTTTATATTTTAATATTTTTTAACGAACAATAAATGAATTTATAATAGAGGTTTATCACCTAAAACAAAAACATGTTGATTTATTAAATAAAATACATTTTATTTACAAAGCAGACGGATAAAATGGCATTGCTGTAAAATACTTTTGCGCTTTTAAATATGTACTGTTATTACTATTATTTTCTCAATGAAGTATTATTATTTCGTTTTTATATAAATAAAATGGAAGGAACACTACTTTTCAGGATAAAGTAAATAAATAATATTTATTTTTGGTTTTTCATAAATGATTTTACTTTCTAGATATCGCGTCGCAGAAGTTGTTTCTGTATGTAAACATGTTTAACAGTCTATTTTTAATCTAGTGTTTTAATGTGTGTGACTGTCATCTAACAGTCTAATCTATTGTTTTAAACATCTATAAACAGTCTGATGTATGTCTAATGAACCGGTATTAATTTTTTGATACGAAAGATGCTGTTTTATGATCTCTGTTTTAAATTATATGTTCAAATAATTGATTTTTAGTTATATTTCTGGGCTGACGTTTCGTCTCGTTTGTGCAATTAGACTTCAAGGACTCTGGGAACCTGTTTATCGGTCTAGTTACTCTTGTATTGTTAATAATATGCAGTTTAGTTAGCAATTTTCCATCCTCTTAGAATTGCATTACAGTTTGCCCGTCGCACAGAAGCAAATGGCGAGAGAAAGAGAGAGAGTGTGAGAGAGAAAGAAGAGAGAGAGAGAGAGTCTTGGAAAAGTATCTCTTTAAACGTTGATTACCTTTTTGCCATTCACGTAAAATACGAGCGTGGAAACTTTTGTGGGCAAGGTATCCATTCTCAAGCCAGTGGTACAGACGAATAGGGTGGGATTATGGGTTTGACTGGCATAGAGACATTTAGCTACTAGCTAAAGGAACAAGATCCCCCCTCTTTAAGGCCTTTTAATCTGGTAAAGTGGGGGCACATTTTTCATTGATACTTATGTAATCAATTGATATTTTGTATCTCGTTTAATCTTCTGTGATTTCCAAGACCGGAGATAACGAACCGGGATTTAAATAATAAAACAAGATTTTGCTGTAAAGCTTCTTCTTCTCCTGAAGCAGTCAAAAACGATTTTAATGACCAAACTGCCCTGGCATAACATTAAAATAAATTTGATTGCCAAGAAGTGTTCTTCCTTGTACATATTGTCTGCCTTATCTTCCTTCCATAAGACTTAATTATGTATTTGTATTTAGATTTAAAACCATAACCTGGCCTTGCATTCATTGGGAGTAGTTTTTGTTAAAATTGTATTGTAACTTCAAATGAGAATCATTACTATAAAATCTTAAGTTAATTAACTGTACCAGCTGGTTAGGGATGGTTAGTTATGGGGTAGCGGGTGCCTTACCAGAGGCACACAAGGGTTAGGGCACCAGATCCTGCATAGACGGGGGAGGGTGCATAACCATCTGTACTATGGGGTAACAGAAATGTCCCAAGGTTCAGCCTCTGTTACAATGGGAATGGACTCATAGTTGGCCGTGGTGAGACCCCTGGCGGGAACTTAGAAAAGAGGCTGTCTTCTATCTGTGACCTTCGCACAAAACTTGCGCATGACCATCGTTATACACCCGGCGGATCAGATGGCAGCATATAAGTGTTGAGGATGCTATGATTATGATGAAAAGTCCCTTGAATGCGCGAGTAGTGGCGGATGGGAACAGGTAGTGAATCGGTTGCTCCTACTCGAGTATGCTTTACACGTATGTGTAGGCTGAGCTCGATTGGAGGCTTTTACCGTAGGCTGTATCCTCTAGGGAGTGGTTAGCAATTCCACTTTAAACAAAATTGCTGCTGGAGCAGATCCGGTAGTTTCTTCGCCAGGGAAGCCCTACTACTCTGGAAGGTAGAGTGGCCTTCTCGTCTAGGAAGTGAGTGGGAGACCAGGCTGATGTATTTCGGCTTACGTAGCCCTTTGCACATGGCATATGGTTTGATGCTTAATGCGAACCCGACCATTCAGAATGGGCAAGCGGAGAGTGAGGTTGTCTTGGCCCATCGGGGCTGAGCTGCCTCTACACCAATGCTGCGGCAGTAACACTCTTCTGTCGTATGCGGAGGTGCATCAGCTCTCATCTTGAGAATCAAAACGTCCGATAAGACCGAATAAGCTAGGTACGGACGTTAAAGATCCTCATCCCTTCATGTCGGAACTGGCTATATAAACAGTTAATTAGCCTGGCTAAACTACTGAAATTGGAATAGTGAATTGAAAGTATATGAATTTTCATCGACATCTGAAGACAAGGAATCGTGGAAAGAAATAGAATTAGAAGTATAGTGATCAAAAACATTTTCACAATAGGCTTGGCCCCTTTGCAGAGAGTAGAAAAATATAAACTAACTAGCATTATAATGCGGAGTTGCTCATGGACATAATAAAAAGTGTTATTTAATACATTATTTGAGTATACATATTGCTATTGCTAGTTAGGAGCACTCATGTAAATTAAAGGAACACAATTGTATGTTTGATATCAATGATTGTATTTTGTCATCATATTAGATATTTACATATGCAATATTATTTTTGTTTTTGATTACATTGTGTTAAATTGTAATAGCGATTATTACCAAAAATTTTCTAGTCTTAGAGCTAAATGTAAATCTTTATCAAATCTTTGTTAATTATTATTTACCTGATATTGAAACTCAATTCAACCAAATATTAAAAACTTTTGGTGTCATATAAATTCCATGAAACAGTCTTCTGCTATGCCCTCCCATATGAAGTATGGTGTTAATTCTTCTTATTATGGATCCATTATTGCCAATTACTTTGCCCAGCACTTTTCAAAACTTGATGAAAGCAATAATTCTGTTCTCTACAACTCTTGATTCTAATTTTTGTTTCCCCCAGCAATTCCACCTTCTTTTTGCATAAATGTGCCATATCCATGGAGGAAATAGAAGAAATGATTTGAACTTTAGATACTACGAAATCAGCAGGTCCCGACAGACATTATTCCTCATATTCTTATCCCTAATTGTGTATTTTACCTCATTTCTTCATTGTACTACTTTTCAATAACCCTCTCAACAAGGCTATTTTTCCTGAGTTCTGAAAATTGTCCTTTGTAATTCTGCTTTTCAAATCTGGCAATAAATGTATGTAATTATAGACTCATTCCCATCGAATCCGTTTTTTTCAAAAATATTTGAATCTTTGGTTTGCAAAAAGTTAAAAAATGCTCAAAAAGGTCATTATCCCCAACAACATGGCTTCTACTGGCAGATCAACAGTAAGTAATTTGCTAATATATCAAAATGAAATTTTGGATGCTATAGCCAATGGTTGATGAATAGGTAGATTTTTCCAAGGCCTTTGACAAAATTGATCTTAACATACTTATTAAAAAGCTAGAAGCAATAGAATATCTGGAAATCTACAGCTTTGGCCACACAGTTATTTACTTGAATGCACCCAAATAGTTAAAGTCAAATCTTTTAGTTTTTCAACTTCCCTTTTTTTGTTTTATCTGGGGTGCCACAAGGCCCCCATCTTGGTCCTTTTCTCTTTTTCCTCTTCATTAATGATATTGACAAAATATATACAAAAATTTATTCTGCCTTAGATTGCATTTATTTACAAAACATTCAATAATCTTTCCAATTATTTTTTTCAACATTCCTTTATTAATGTTGAGTTATTTATAAGCATTGTATTAAATATATTTTTCTCCTTACTTTTGTATATATTTATTTATTTATTTTTTTTTTTTTAAGAAATGGGTTTTTGACTGGTACAATAAAAAAAATATATGATTGCTGAAAATAAAGCATATCTGTGATTCTTTTCTATCCTTTATGACCCTAAATTTTGCAGATTTCTTTTTCCTTATACAAAGCTAGAAAGACAAAGCATATTAGCCAAGGAAGACGTGTGTATTTAACGATGAATTAATTAATGGGGGAAGGGTATCGTGAAATAAAGGGCCAGGGGCGACGATGGGAATCGAACCCATGACCGCTAACCACTCGGCTACCGCCTAATAAATACCGGTACCATTTCTATGATAACTGGTACGATAAAATGGATCCTCTTAACAATTGGACTAAAACTGTGTATGAGAGACGTCGGTTGCTGCAACAGTCAAGGTAAAGGTCCCGGGTTCGAATCCATCAGCCCTGCTTAGAAAATTAAAAATGGGCTTTTTTCAAAAACACAAGAGTTAAATAACCTCGTAGTTGATATACCCTCTTAAAAAAGTACATGGTGTGCCAAGTTCTACCTCCACGATTTGGTGGCCATTCACGATCGTTCCAAATGGAACCGCGCCGACCTGATGAAAGATCTTTCCTTTGAACCCGCTGATTGGAGGAACTATTTAAGGATGGATGAAACGTCTTATTTATTCATTATATTTAGTGTTCTATTGACCAAATTACTTCTTTCAATTAATTAATCTTTTTTGTAAGGTTTTGGTTGAAATGAAAAAGCTAGTGCCACGAGCGGGATTTGAATCCATGACCTTCGGCTAAATACGCCGCTGCTCTACCACTTGAGCTATCGTGACTGACAAAAAAACGTCTTATTTATATATACTGCAGCTTGTTACCCCCTTGATTAGAAAACAAAAGACAGTCATGAGAAAAATCATCACTGTACAACTCTACATGAAAGGTTGGCAGCCACATTACGATTTCTCGCTACAGGGATGAACTACGAAAAGCTTTAAGTTCTCTACTACGTTTCAGCTCAGCGCTTAGGTTAGGGGTTAACAATATCGCATCTCTCGATGCATTTGTATCCTTTTTTTTAAAAAGGTCGACCAACTGGTTGAGGACCGAATTTCTTTTATTTCTATCGTGGTAATCATTGTCCACCACTTTCCATAAACATAGTAAATTTTCATACAATTCAATCACCTCAACAATAAAATCTCTATTGCAGCCTTTGCCAATAAGAAAGAAACGTTTTTCACTTTTTGAGAATGTAGGACGGAGATGTTTGCTCAGTGACAGAAAGAGGGAGACTGCGCCAAAAAAACGCGGGTTTCCCATTCAAGACCAAGCCAGCTCTCCAATATTCCACCGTTCCCGCCAGGTTTTCCCATTCACGAACGCGCCATAGATATTTGGAGTGGCGTGATGGAGTTTGGACCGGCGTCGCTCCGTTTGGACTGCTAGGAGCGATCGTGAATGGCCACAGAAGTTAGGTGGCCATTCACGATCACTTCAAATGGAACCGTGCCAAGCCGTACAGCTCCATTTGGAGTGCCTGAAATTTGAGGGGGCATTCACGACCGCTCCACAGCCAGTCGCTCCGAACGTCAACCAGTGAATTACCTTCTCAAAATGGATGACGATCTCTTGTGCTACGCTACTGTTTGTTTATATATTAAAAGTAAAAAACCGAAGAGGAAATGGTGTTAGAAGTGGCTCCTGAACAGAAGCCCTAATACACACATCAATTTGATGAAATATCTTTCCCTTGAACTCGCTGATTGGAGGAACTATTTAAGGATGGATGAAACGTCTTATTTATTCATTATATTTAGTGTTCTATTGACCAAATTACTTCTTTCAATTAATCTTTTTTTGTTTTTTGTTGAAATGAAAAGGTAGTGCCACGGGATTTGAATCCATAACCTTCGGATAAATACGCAAGTAGTAGAGCAGCGGGTATTTAGCCGAATGTCGTGGATTCGAATCCCGCTCGTGACACTATTTTTTCATTTCAACCAAAACCTTACAAAAAAAAAGATTAATGTGTTATTTATATTTACTCCAGCTTGTTACCCCCTTGATAGGAAAACAAAAGACAGTCATGAGAGAAATAATCACTCTACATGAAAGGTTGGCAGCCACATTACGTTCTCTAAGTTCACTTAGAACTACGATTTCTGCTCAGCGCTTATCAATACTGCATCTCCCGTTTAGATCCCTAGTTTAGTCCCTAAAAAAACGCGGGTTTTCCCATTCAAGACCAAGCCAGCGCTCCAATATTCCACCGTTCCCGCCAGATTTTCCCATTCACGAACGCGCCGTAGATATTTGGAGTGGCGCGATGGAGTTTGGACAGGTCGAATAGCCGGCACAGCCGGGCACGACAGTTCAGTTTTGCCATTGACGTGGTTTTTGGAACGGCGTCGCTCCGTTTGGACTGCTTGGAACGATCGTGAATGGCCACAGCAGTTTAGAGCCATTGGAGGTCTCGGTCGAAGAGTAGGTACTTGTCGACGCGACATACGACAGCTAGAGACAGAGTACACTTTACAGACGTAACGATCGTTTCATTGCTCCCACCGCACTACGAACCGTCATTTAACGGCTTCCTTGATACTTCATCCAAACGGTCTGTACATTCATTAATGTAACGAATAGTCATCAGGAGACATCGTGAGAATAGCCTAGTCTCTATGTCGCATCAAGTACCCTCGTTGTATGTAGTATGAAACTGTATATAGTATGTAGCATAAAACCTATTAACGGCAGTGTTCTACAGCTCTACTGTATGGAGGACCGGAATGATATCGTCTGATAATCAGTGATTGAGCCAGTCTCAAGTCGACCGAACGATAAAAATGCGTTTACCGCCTAATGTGAAAAATCCCAATGCATTCAATGTTTTACTGACATCTATTCAAGGTAAAATATCGGTCGACTTTATATCGTCTGGCAAATGTAATTGAATATTAAATAATTAACATTTATTGATTGATTGTTCATTCACGATGTGATCATACCTAATTTTGTAGTTTATCGCGATTCCGCCCGTAGACATCTGTACTGTATAACCACAACGTAACATCACTCAGATACAAGTTTCTTTTCTTGTCAATAATAAAAACTTTTGTCATGTAGTACTGATTTGATTGAATTTTTATACTTTAAACTTAATCTTTACTGAAGTATCGTGTCACGATGACAGATTCAGTGAGGGAAAGTTCTGTAAGTCTGTCGAATAATTTATATTGTAAAAAATACATATGTATTGCATTTCTCGTTTGATTGCTCCAGGGGGATAAACGTATCAGGAGAAGCTTTGCGGATATACCATGCTACAAGAACAGTTTGCTGTATGGAATTTCGTCAGGAATAGGAGGTGGGCTCATTTACTTCTTGTTTACGAGCAAGGTGAAACATGCATGTCATGCCAGCATAGCTACGCATACTGTTGTTACCCTCTCCTATTGGTAATAGCTTTTTCCTGAATAACTAATATGATTTCTGTAATATCGTTTCATTTTAGGACGTATTGTAGATATAAGTGGGAGGAGGATCGTAAAAAAGCAGAGATGATGACCGAGTACTTAAGGCAGTATATAATTAGGGAAGGAACAGAGCAAAATGAAGACAAAGAGTCTGTCGTCTGATCCTGGGATTGTTTGCCTACTGGTTGATTTTGTATTGCTTGATAGTAAACTATAAATAGTATCCAAATAAATATTTTTTTATTGAAATGTACATTGTAAATCAAAATATACAAAGTTCTATGTTTGCGTGCTTTTTTGTTAACAGTTTGAACTTATTTATGTACTCAAGAAGTTTTTAATCCATAGTTAAGTATCTATACATTATACATACATGTATTTGTGATAAAATTATATTTCTTAACTAAGTCTACCTATTTAGATGAGTGCATCCTTAATGCCAACCAAATATAGATTTTTTTATTAACATGTTTATAAAAACTTGTGATTGTGACATAAAAAAGATGATTTTGAATTTCCAGTTAGAAAATAGAATAGAAAAGAAATCAACAAACTATAAACACTTCTTTACTGGGATCCAAATTGCATGGGAATTAACAAGACAATTCGATGAAATACTAACGATGGCATTTTCAGAGCACTGGATTCTAACTGGAAATATAATATAAATGTCTTGTCAAATTTTGCCAGAAAAATTGTAATCCTCAACAGGAAGCACAAAATGACCCATAATTATTGCGTTGTCTGGAAAATAATGCAGGTTTATGGTTATAAAATATGATTAAATAAATGATTTTGAATATTTGTTTTATAAATTAAAACACCATCTATAACTCTCAATTACACTTCTCCCGATATGATGGCAACTTCTCTAAATCCTGTGAATAGAACTTGAGTTTGTAAACGAATTTTCTATCTTATAAATCCTGATAATATGGTAGTTAGAAGGCGAGAGGTCTGGAGAATAGGGAGGGAGAGGCAGAACCTCATAACCATATCCAACAGTTCCAGAGCGTCTGCTGTTATTGTAGAGAATCCACTTTTCATCGCAACTAACAATATCTGGAAAAGGTTTGTTTCTGTTTCGGCAAAGAAGCATTGCATAAACTTCTTACCGGTGATAGTTTTGGTGGTCGTTTAATGCATGAGGAACTTTTGAGCTTTTTCACCTTTCCAATTGCCATAAGGTAGCCAGGGACAGTAGATTTTCTAACTGAAAGATTCTCTGCAAGCTCTCAGTTTTCTGGGATTTTCTTCGACCAAAACTCGCAGATCATTATCTAGGGAAGAAATACTTCCATGACCTTTTCTTTGTCTTGCTAAATTCTCCCTCTTGAATTTTTTTTTATATGCTTGTTATTTCTACGAATATAACAATGATTATTAGCAAAGCATAATACAGGCATGGATCACAATCCATCTGCCGGAGGTCGTTGTTAAGAGAAAAAGAATAAACAAAAAAAAAAAAAAGAATTAAAGCGAGGTTATAACATTATTTGCTACGTGCTAGTACACCATCAAACAAGATTAAACATAATAGTAAAACTACTTCTAATAGAAAACAAACCAAGGGAAAAGTCTTAATGGTAAAGGGACAAAAAATCGGATATAATAAAGACATATTATATAAAGGAAATTGAGTGAATGAATTAGAGGGGTCAGAAATTGAATTCCATAATTAGGTCTAATCTATATTTCCAGGCGTGGCGGACATACTGCATGAGCGCCCGTGGATCTGGGCCATCCAACAGATTTAACAGAGTGCTCCTTAAGAGGGTAAAAAATCCCAAGTGCAACAACCTTATCTCGCCCAATATTGTACATTCGGCCATAAAATGCAGAGTTGTTTCCACAGATTGAGAATTGCAAAGGGCACATAACCCCTCCTTGCACCTCAACCAAAGTGCATAGTTCAAGTTAAGGCCTTGCAACGGGTTATTAGTAGCCATCTTAAGTTTGAAAGACTGTGTGAGACAAGTCTTTGAATAAGGAAAAGTTAAGCGAGGACTGAGCAACCGTCTCGATGCCGTTCCTTGAATCTAGATAGAAGATCTAAAAAAAAAAAAAAGAGCTGGCCTAGCAAGGTTTTCGTAGGTGGGACAGGTTACTTCAAATCTCTGAAAGAGCGTAAGTCATTGAGCATACCAGGCGATCTTATTCCTGATGGCTTCGATCGCAGTTATTTTTGCCAATTTTATGCAAGGGGAATTCAAAACTTGGAAAATAAATGAAAAGTGAAGTTTTAAGGTATATAAATCAGGTCAGTAGACGTTTCTAAATAAATCATGTAGTTTGGGGTAGGGTTGGGAAGAGCAAATAACTTACGAATAAAAAATCTTTGGAATTTCTCGACTTCATTGTTGGTTGCCCCATATCTGGCAGCCGTTACAGATGATTGACTGACATACCCAGTGAGAAATTTTTTAAACCATCTCTGAATAGTGCTCTCATACGCTGCCATCACCCCAGGCTTCATTAATGTTTCTGGCCGTTTGGGCAATGTTCTGACTGTATTTAAACTCAAAATGAAATTATACAAAAATCACCTTACATTATATGGATGAATCACCTTATATTATCTACAAATACAGTGGTACTGTATACTGGTACTTTCTAATAAATCATGCCATCACTTAAGTCAAAAGGCCAATTCAATGTTAATTTATATCAACACAATTTTCCACTATGGGTGTCAGTCTCTTAAATAAAGTGACTGCAGACATTTCAAAACAGGGTTTAAGAGTCATAATGGGGTCATCTGAAAGAATATGCTAGTATATAATTTCGAAAGATACCTACATAAAATTAAGAGATCTTTAACAACTAGCAGAATAAAACACATTAATTAAAGGTATTGTAAAACGCTCTAACCCTATGACAGCCAATTAGGTGATGGTAAAGCCATCTTAAAAATGATCTATACAGTTGATGAGTAAGACAAAAGTATGGTACATAAGTAAGGACGAAACATGACATTTGGCTATCATAAAAATCTCTGGAACTTTGCCCCTCAAAAAAGTTTTTAATATGATTAATTAAGGTTTTTAGTCGAGATGAAAAAAAGTTAATGGCACGAGCGGGATTCGAACCCACGATCTTTGGCTAGATACGCCGCTGCTCTACCACTTGAGCTATCATGACCTCGATCCACTCGGACATCAACTTCCTATCTCAACCCCACCTTATGAGTTAGCGGCGTATCTAGCCAAAGATCGTGGGTTCGAATCCCGCTCGTGCCATTAACTTTTTTTCATCTCGACTAAAAACCTTAATTAATTGTAATGATTTAATTGGTCAAGTGGACCACGAAATTAGTGAATTTAGAGTTTTTAATGTGTTTAAGGAAGTTGGCGTAATAGACTGATATCAAGGTCAAGCGGGTTCAAATATAGCATGGATGACTCATGAACATGACAGAACGAAATAACACATCATACTGTATTTATTAGTTATAAATGCAATAATATTGAAAAATATAGTTAAAAAATTATCTTATGAAAGATATATGTAAAAATTAAATTTTAGATATTTTACAAAAACTCATCACACCAATCGGATAAGCAGCCGTAGCAGTCACTGGACTGTTTTGAACTCGCCTGGCAGGTGTCCTTCATCCAGTCTTGAAAGAGCTCTTTGTTTTTCTTGAGGACGAGATACTGACCCAGGACGACGTAAGCCTGGAAAAGAGTCGAAATTACATTCTTAGTGTATTTACAGTTGGAAGGGGCGGCTTACTTTGTCGAATCCCTGGTTTTCCAGCCTTTTGCCGAGGACTTCGCCGACGCCTGCCAGTTCAGTCACCGGTTTCTCGCCCATCGGCTCCGCGACGAAGTTCCTGTGCTTTTGACTAGTCCTCGACATCTTCCTGTGAAATGGTTCTTGCAAAACTGTGTTACTGACGAACTTAGAACGTCACAGGAAACTGGGAACGAGATAAAACTGAAATCCTATCTTGCGCAATATTATAGATATTGGCGGTTTTCAACGGCGATGTGTATAACAGTCTTGTATACTTAACATACAACAACTGACCTTGACAAAACCGACGACCCCGGGCTATTTTAAAATTCCTTTTATTACAACTCAAAGGCCCAATTTTTTTCTAATCTTCTCATTTTCTGTTGTAAAGAAATAATATTCATTTAACCTTCCTTATGTACACTGTTGGCGCCCTTCCTTGTTAGTCTTTGTTCTTTGTTCTAAAGAGCAAGATCTGCTGCTAACCTTGTGTCACAATTTACAAATGGTAGATAGATATATGAGTCAGTGTGTGTATATATACTGCGCTAGTTGAGTCAACTGAGTTCACCATGGAAAGCGTTGTAATTACAAGTTAAAATGCAAAGATATTGATGAAGATATTCGTATAAGTCCCGTGATATGGGCATGAGGTATGAGGAGTAACCTGATAAAATACCATTAGCACTAAGCTCAAATACCATTAGTTCAAGGATGGTGCTGAACTGCAAAACCAAACTAAACATATTAGGTATGCAGAATAAAGTCAGCCTCTGCTGGGTCCCAGGACACATGGGAGTAGAAGGCAACGAGAAAGCAGACAGGAAAGGGGCTGCTAAACCGCTGATAGGACCCGAACCCTTCTGTGTCATAGGAATCCACACTATTAACAAATATCTCAGACAGATGGACAAAAAGAAAATGAAGGAACAATGGAATTCACTCATTTGACATAGATAATCCAAGAATCTTCTAACCAATTTTGGTAGGAAAGAAATCACAGAATGTGTCAAAGGAAGCAGGAACCGACTGCGAATCCTAACAGGACACTGCAGATTAAATGGACACTTAAAGAAAATTGGAACAATCCAAGATGGCACATGCAGATTCTGCAAGGAGGCAGAAGAGACACCAACACATTTACTAACAAACTGCAGAGCTACACTAGCCCGCAGGAGGAAGTGTTTTGGGATGTATAATGTGACCATAGAAGAGATTCAATCACTGAAACCGGGCCTATTAATCAAGTTTCTTGATGAAATAGGACTCACCAATGTGCTTTAGGCAGAGAACGGGGCATACAATAGCCCTTAAAGGGTGCAGTATATTACACCCCAAATATTACATCTACATCTACAACGTGATAAAATTAAAAGAAACGAAGCTTGAAGGGAAGTAGCACAACAGTATTTGACATTTTGAGAGAAAACGCCCGTTTTCAGTGAAGTTATTTAATTGGTGCAGTCATTGGATGGCAAAGGTTTTCAAGGGTATATTGGAAATCAACTATATTTTTGTGCGAATTGGCTGAAGTTTTAACAAAATATCTTAAAAAGAAAGATTAAATCTTTTTTAAAGTTAATTTGCTGTTTTGAACTGCAGTTTTTTCAATTCCAACTTCATCAACATACTTGAAATTCACTTTAAGAAGAAAGAAGCCATTGAAGTCAACCACAAAACAAAAAAGGGACATAGGATTTTCATGGTTTTGGATTATGAGATTTGATAATGAATTCTTTGATGTTTTGAAGAGCTTAATGGAGGTAAAAAGTAAAAAAAAAATAATAATAAAAAAATTGATATAAGAACTTGTAACATTATACATAGTTTGATGCGCACTGTTCAAAGATTGATCGAAAGACGAAGCCTGTGGTGTGGAGGTAAATGTTGTTCCTGAAAGAGCTGAGGAAACTGAATTTGCCTTCTTTCATGTGAAATCATTTTTATTTTGATATAAGCCAGCAAGGAAACAGAACCTACTTCCCAGGGAAGCAAATTGTGTCTTGGCCCTGCAATTCTGAAGGATAAGGCTAAAGGTTTAGAAGAGTGTTGAAGGCTTGGGATATGATTGGTGCATTTGGACCGGGAATGGTGGAAAATAGTTGATTGATAACGAGGACATTTATTTGATTTAATTTTAAATAGTAAAATTCTAAATGTATAAGTGTTTAGAATGTTAAGGTCGTTGAAGGCATTATTATAGGATGAAATATGTACCTACGGTTTACCATCATAACAGTATCTAATGCAGGAAAGATAAGCAATTTGAAGGTGATGAGCGGCTTGAGAGACTAAGGAAAGTGAATAAATAATGCAACAGTAAAGTAAAGTAATGGGTAGTAGTTATAGTATCAATGGCTGATGGGAAATCGAGATGCGGGTTTTGTGACCCAATGAGAAGTATGGATGAAAGATTAAGTTGCCGGATGGCAGATGAGGCATCAGCCTTTAACTGTGAGCTTCAGGCAATTAAGGAAGCCCTAATTTATGCCCGCTCAAATACTTCTGATAAATCAACAGTGATAATAACAACGGATTCCAAAAGTTCCTTGGAGGCGATCAAAGCAGACAATGCGCAAAAATTAAAGAATTACATAATACTACAAATAAGGAACATAATTGTCGAAATAAGAAGAAATAAAGAAATAAAACTCGTTTTGTTTTGGATTCCAGCTCACTGTGGAATTCGTGGCAATGAAAAATCGGATTCGTTAGTGAGAGAAGCAACCAGAGAACCAACATTAAATATCAGATTACCATATCATGACTATTATCCAATGGCCAAGGCGAGAGGCATGAATAGTTAGTAGATTCAATACAGTACCATTTCGACAACACAATGGTTTTCAATTATCACTCTTAAAAAAGCAACATGCAGGATAATAGTGAGGCTTAGGTCCAACCAACGGTGTGGGTAAATATTACTTAAAAAAGATAAATCAGGTTCAGATGAAAAGTGCACGTGTGGTAGCATAAAAACATTGAAACATATGATCATGATGTGTCCACTCTATGAAGAGAAACGTAGGAAGATGCTGAGTTCTATTAAAAATGTAATGGGAAATATGGTAGGATACTCAAGCTCCTGTTCTAGCGAGGTGATCTCTGCAGTAGAGGACTTCTTGAATAATATAAACAAAAGAGTATGATTATATTAAAATAAGGGTTGTAATAATAGTACATTACTATGCACATGATGTCGCAAGTGGCTCTGGCAGCCAGCTGATGCCAAAAATAAACTAAAATTAAAAAAATGCTACAGTAAGAGAATAAAGGAATTATTAGAGGTTTAATAAGAACTCTAGTTTTCTGAGGAGTGAAAAAGCTGAGAGGTCGAAGAGAATGGAGGCTTGAGTAGACCTTTTCATTAATAGAACTCACATGGCCATGCCATGTAAGCTTGGAGTTAAAAATAATGCTGAGATTTTTAACTTTATGGCAAAATTAATAGGTGAGCTGTTGATATGAGGAGGAGATAGGCAATCTGTATTAATGGGTTTAATGGAAATTCATAAGAACTGGGATTTGTTAAGGTCTAAAAGAATGCCATTATTACTTGATCATTGGTTGAGAGAATGAAGATCACGGTTGAGCAGATAGATAGCTTCAGAGATGTTTGTAGGACATTGACTGTAAAGCTGAGTGTCATCAGCATAAAGATGAAATTGGAATTAAGAAATAATGGAAGATCATTTCAAAACATGGAAAAGAGTAAAGGTCCTAGAATAGAGCCTTGGGGTACGTCAGCTTTAATTGAGAGAGAAGAGTTGACAGAATTTGAAGTTTTAATTCTCTGAGTTCTATGATACAGGTAGGAGGAAATGAGATTAGTTGCAGTATAAGAAAAACCAAAAAGATGCGTCAGTTTACAAATAAGCAATGTATGATTTACGGAACCAAACGCAACAATGGAACTAAAGTAGAACAGTAATAGTGCACTTATTATCATCGACACCTAAGCAAATATCATCTGAGATTTTGAGAAGGGCTGTGTCACAACTTTGAAATTTTCGGAAGCCAGATTGAAAAAGGGATATAAGGGCAAACAATTAATAATAATTAATTAATAGGGAAGCTGTTGAGTAATTAATAGGTAGGATATAGGCATTTGTACTAATGGGTTTATTGGAAATTAATAAAGACTGGGATTTGTTAGAGTCTAAAAGAATGCCGTTATTACTTGACCATTGGTTGAGAGAATGAAGATCACGACTGACCAGAGATGTGTGGTGCCACTATCTCCGAATAATCATTGAGCAGAGAGATAGCTTCATAGATCTTGTTAGTAGGACGTTGAATGTAAAGCCGAGTGCCATCAGAATAATTATTAAATTGGGAGAAATTAAGAACTAATGGAATATCATTTAGAAACATAGAAAAGAGTAAAGGTCCAAGAATAGAGCCTTGGGGTACGCCAGCTGAAATTGAGAGATAAGAGGAGATATAATTTGAAGCTTTAACTCTGAGTTCTATCAGACAGTTGGAAGGAAAGGAAATTAGTGGCAGAATATCATCTGAAATTTTGTGAAGGGCTGTCCCCCAACTTTGAAATTTTCGGAAGCCAGATTGAAAAGGGGATGCAAGAGCAAACAATTGAAAATAATTAATTACTAGGGGAGCTGTTGAGTAATTAATAGGGAGGACATACGCATCTGTACTAATGGGTTTATTGGAAATTAATAAGGACTGGGATTTGTTAGTGTCTAAAAGAATGCCGTTATTACTTGACCATTGGTTGAGAGAATGAAGATCACGACTGAGCAGAGATGTGTGGTGCCACGATCTCCGAATAATCATTGAGCAGAGAGATAGCTTTACAGATCTTGTTAGTAGGACATTGAATGTAAACCTGAGTGCCATCAGCATAATTATTAAATAGGGAGAAATTAAGAACTAATGGAAGATCATTTAGAAACATAGAAAAGAGTAAAGGTCCAAGAATGGAGCCTTGGGGTACGCCAGAAGAAATTGAGAGAGAAGAGGAGATATAATTTAAAGCTTTAACTCTGAGTTCTATAAGACAGTTAGATTGAAATGAGATTAGTGGCAGAATATCATCTGAAATTTTGTGAAGGGCTGTTTTCCAACTTTGAAATTTTCGGAAGCCAGATTGAAAAGGGGATGTAAGGGCAAACAATTAATAATTAATTAATAGGGGAGCCGTTAATATAAGTACGGCATAGGCATCTCTACTAATGGGTTTATTGGAAATTAAACTGGATTTTGCAGATTTTGGACAAAAAACAAAAGGACTTTTTTTAGGAAGAATAAAGTAGGTGGTGTTTAGGGGTAAATAGAAAGTTGGCACAACTGTTTCTGACACTATATAGACAATTTTTTTAAACATGAAGTAGCATTTCGTTAGTTAATTTTAGCATGATTCTTGTTTAACAATTTGATTTCGCATGTTAACTTTATTGACGTTGTGATGAAAGGAAAGTGTGAAGGGCCCGCTTTCAAAACAAAACAAAAGTCACAACTTCTGAAGCAGTTGTGAAAACAAGTGAAAATCGATAATTTATGAGAGTGTAAAAGTTATAAAAGATCAACATTTGTTGTAGTGTTTATTATTTAGTCGAAAAAAAAAATACTCCGAAAACTCATCGAAAGCCGTGATCCTTTAACCTTTCATCCAGAGGGCGAAAAGGGAGACTCCGTGCCGGGCCCAGTGGTATATTGATTTGCCGAGGCCGCACCGTCTGGAGAGAAGCGACTCTTTCGGAACGGACAGTAGAAGTTCAGCGGTCGGCGACTGGCGAGTTTCTCCATCAACGCAGGCTGGGCACAGGAACGGGAACTGTCATGGCGGCCATGTCGTGAGATGAAGGCACCAGTTCAGTGCGTTGGGCCTACAATGGAAGAGAATTCACCTTCGGCGAACCTCAACGGGCAGATCGGGCAGCCGGGCGGCGGCGTGAATTCGGGCGTCAAACAGAACGACGAGGTCAACCAGAGGATCCAGTACTCGATACCGGGCATCCTGCATTTCATACAGCACGAATGGGCTAGGTTTGAGATGGAGAGGTCCCAGTGGGACGTCGATCGGGCTGAATTGCAGGTAATTCTTAGGGTATCGCTTCTCAACGGGCCCGATCCCGTTCGCCGCTTACTCTTGCCAATCCCGTGAAACTTGATTAATGACAAATCGGAAAGCCCCCCTCTAATTGCTACCCTGCCACTAAGAAATCCTCTTTCGCTTTCTTCCTTTGAAACCCTTTCCGCTTTTACGCCGTAACGTTTACGACAGACTAAAAAAATCTTGTCGTACCAAGGTTCATTTTCACCGCTTTTCAACTTTTTTTTTCTTTTATAATCGGTCAAATTGACTTCTGAATTAGTCATTAAACAATAAGAGGTAAAACGACAAAAAACTATTCCAGAGAAAATACAATAAGAAAGACCATCTTTTAAAACATTACACAATGTATCGTGGTGGCTTTAAGCTGAGTTTTTTATCCTCCACGATTTAAAATAGTCTTAATTGACGTTTGACAATGTTGTCATGTTTACCGAGATCTTTGTGTTTAAATCGTGTAGAGTTGCCTCCATTCATATCCAATTATACATAATTTCTTTATACATTATTTACATTAAAATACTTATTAGTTAATTTTATAAGGATAAATTGTATTGTTTAAAAACATTGCCAACTGGCTTAACAAGTCAATTCATGTCTTTGTTTGTAGTGGTATTATCATTGTCCATGGCCATGTCTATAAGTTGTATTTTTACCGTGTTTAAAATGGTTGAATTAGGCATTTACACAGTTAACATTAATTAACATTAAATTAACGTTTAAATAAAATCTCTAGTTTGGTCGTTTCCAATCATTTTCATCTGCCTACTCTTGCTGGTTTGTTCTGTCAAACTCATTTCAGAATGTAACAACTCAAATATAAAACAGCCAATTTTTGAATTTGATTGTTAATTTGACTGACTTTTGCACATCATACATTATTGATTTAAGCAAGAAATACATTAACAAATATTACATCGGTATAGCCTTCAACTTTCGTATTTATATGAGAAGTGATCGGTGACTTTTACATCCTGAACATTTTTACCCTTTCATAATTATCACTGTTTTTTTTTTCATTTATTATACATGCATCTTACATGTCTTATACATGTTCCGTGTATTCATGAATTTCTTTTATTACCTGATACATTTAAGTAAAAGTGAATTAACTGTACTTTTTATAACAATCAAAATATGCTTTGGTTAATTCTCATATTCAACACAATTTAACTGAACTCTGTATAAAACGTCCATATTACTAAATGTTGTTTAAGTTTAAAATTACAAGCAGTGCATTTTTTTTTTACTTGTATTTGCAATATGTACTGTTTAAAATTATTGGTATTTACAAGTCAAGTTTTGTCATTGATTGTTCAGTGGTATTATTATAGTCGTTTTGACTTTAGCACACACATTAGAACCGTGCAATATAATTTTTATTCTTCTATTACAAAGATAGCACAATTAAAAATAAATTGATAGTAGATCGTTAACATATCTGCCGTATTTCAATCGTGCATGCCATTGAACTAAATTCTGGTGAATTCAGTTGACAAATGAACGAGAATTGAGCTTGTAACTAATTGTTTAAAAATAACAAGCTTTACACTTTTTCACTTGTGCTTTCTAAATGACATTACCGTGATTTTTATTGTGGGTTTGATTGAAAATTCAACTCTCTAATATATATCTTCAAATATTACATATGTCAGTTAATTTGGATAAAATATTTCCCCAATGAATTAATTATATTAAAAGATCTTAGTTAATTAGTAATGATATTTTTCAATACTTGTATATAAATATTGTTTAAAATGGATCACATACATATCATCATTTTTTGTGGGAGCTTGTACATTTTTCTTAAACATTTCCTTGATCCTATTGATCAACTATTAAATTGTCATTAGCATTTGACAATTTAATAAATAGTTTAAATTTTTTTAATGTTTTTAGCATACTAGCCAAGTCAACCTATAGTAACTATCGAATCCATGACCACCCTAACCATTCAGCTAGATTTGTCCCCAGTAGCTTTATTAAACTATTACTATAATTTGGTTGGCAACCAAAGTTATAGGTTCATCACCCCTCAGACCACATGGATAAATTTTCTGGATCAGGTATGATGAAGAAGAAGATACCATACTTTGATCCATAGAGTTCGTAAATGAAAAAGGGGTCGATACTTCACACACTGAAAATTTGATAAATTTCCAAAATTAAAATGTTTTAGTCAAATAATTTTTGGGATGCTATGTGAACGTAACTGCTAAATGAGTGGTGATTAGTGACCATTAGCCGATAATTATTCGGAAATCTTGAGGTGCAGTCTGGTGTGATGTAGGTTTCAGAAAAACATTTTCTTTATCGTGCCAACGTTTCAGTCTTTATTGAGATCATCTTCAGGGCTCAAAGTGTTTGTTTTCTGTGTAATTGTGCCATTCTTGCGTGTCGTGTTGAGAGTGCCCCTGGTTCTGAAACCTACATCACACCAGACCGCATCTCATGATTTCTGAATAATGAAACGGTCACTAATCACCACACATTTCTACACAAGAAGAACTTGGGATTCTATAAACAAATTTCAACTACATATCGACACGAAGCAAAAAGTATTCTGAAGGATATCTCCAACAATGAGAAGAAACTCGCATCGGCTATCAATCAGAGAACCTTTTTGTTGAAATGCAGACCACACACGGTATTTCCTACTCACATCAAAAACAATTTTAACTTCACAAATGCCACACTAACACAACCCAACAGCAGAATTAACGACATACATAAAGTCACAATACATTTCAAAAGAAACATTTTAAACATAAAGATCACCATGACATTAAGACATTAACAGGGCTCTCTCAAAACGACACGCAAGAATGGCACAGAAAACAAACACTTTGAGCCCTGAAGATGATCTCAATAAAGATCAAAACGTTGGCACGATAAAGAAAATGTTTTTTTAAACCTACATCACACCAGACTGTATCTCACAATTTCTGAATAATTATTGGCTAACGGTCACTAATCACCACACATTTAGCAGTTAGATTCACATAACATCCCAAAAATTATTTGACTAAAACATTTTAATTTTTGAAATTTATCCAATTTTCAGTGTTAAAAGTTTCGATCACTTTTTCATTTGGGCACACTATTGATCAAAGTATGGTATCTTTTCCTTCATCATACCATGATCCAGAAAATTTATCCACGTGGTCTGAGGGATGATGAATCTATAATTTTGGTTGCCAACCAAATTATAGTAATAGTTTAGTTATAAATTATAATAGTTATAAATTATAGTTATAGTTAGTTAAAGCTACTGGGGACCACTATGGCTGAATGGTTAGGTCATGGATTCGATGCTAAATGTGGTTACAGTTTAACTTGAAATAAACTTAACCACATTACTGTTTTATTTTTATGGTATCTATATCAAAAATCAATATTCTTATTCAAAAGAATATAAAAAAATTGAACGAAACATTGATAAATATAATAGAAAGAATTATGTGTGTAATTAGTTTTAGCAAGAACAATTAGATAACTTAATAACACATTAAGAACAAAATCATATAATAAATTGTTACCTAGCTTTTAATATATCACTGAATGATATTCCATTTTTGGAATGACATTCCATTTCTTTCAAACCATCATTATTTTTTTTTTTTTTTTTTTTAATTAAAACTCACGAATGTCTGATCTCGTTTGATTTGGTTTACATTAAAGTATGTTTCAGTTAATATAACAATAAAAATACATATAGATCAGTTTGACTTCAACAACAAAATACGAATGCACATTTGCTTGTATAATTAACTGGAGAGATCATGACCAATTTAACAAACAATGACAAGTATCAACCTGATAATAATACAATTACTTCGTAGAAACGGTTTTATTTTTCTTTCATTTATTTGTAAAGAAAAATCAATGGCATTTATGAAACCATTAAAGACTTTACAGATTAACCCAATAAAATAATACCACTTAGCAAAACAGGCAATAATTTAATTTGCTGTCCAAGAAGACTCTTATTCTTTTCAGTAGTAGGTTTGATTATAGAGTATTAAATATCTCACTTGTAATTTGGAATTCACCAACCACTTGAATATACAAAAAGAACATACCCTTGAGGAAATGGAGGAAATGCATAGAATCACCACTGAAAATCCTGAGAAGTTAAATAGTTTGATTCTATCTATTGAAAACTTTTACCATCTTTACTGTACACAGACAAACAACAAAACGTTTACTTTTAAGTTCTTATTAATTATTATTGTTATTTTTTCTATTGATTTTTGTGTCTAAAGATAGGGGCCCACCAGGCTGTCGTTAGAATGTCTGAAATAAAATACCAATCACTGAATCTTGTAAAACTACTGTTTGGTTTGATAAAAATGTTTAATATGGCAGAAACTAATTTATTGAAGTCAAGAGGAGTGGTCAAGAATGAGGTAGTTTGGAAAAACACCTTTTTAATTTTTTTGCCGACACACAGCACTTTCACACAAAACCACTATGACACCACAAGAATAGCACCACACTTTATGACCTGAAGATGACCCGAATAAAGGTTGAATAGTCAGCAAAAAAATGAAAAAGGTATTTTTCTAAACTACCCCGTTCTTGACCACTCCTCACTATTCAACAAATTATGAAACAACAGATCATTAAGAAACACACTTATAACAGAAAAAAATCATTTAACTCGTATTTTTCTAAAATGTGTAGTTAACTAGACAATACGTTTGACTAGTCATTTGGTAATGTGCTCCATATTCAATATTTATCTCTACATCTGTCTCTCTACCTCCATCAATACATCTAGCCAACTATGTTACTTGTACTGAAAGTTACTCAGAGGCCAGCCAGGTAGAACATCAGGGCTCTCCCTTAAAAATGGGGTCGCATGCCCTCTTTTCCTTATAACGGACTACTTCGGATGGCTGTAGGTAAAAACTTTACATGTGTACTACTCTCTTACAAGTGTACTCTTGGAAAAGTTCACCACCATCCCCCAGTCCAGAGCATAACATGTCCTAGCACGCAAGGTTATCCTCCAACCAGTCCCCTGAGTGCCCCTAAATAGAAGTATGGTTAAGTGGTTACAAGTCCTATTTTTTGCTAGAATGATCCCACTCAATACCTATTTCATTATAATAAAGTAGATGGAGTCAAGAACTTGAATGTATTTTGTATTACCTGATATTAAATTTACCAAAGATAGGAAGGGAGATTTTGTACTTCCTGAGAGAATTGAAAATATTTTCCCTGCAAGGTATGACATGGTTTGCTACAGCTGTTGAACGATTGTCGTCACATGGGTATTTGTTGGATGGTAGAAATTCCCCGCCATATCTTATTACATATGCATACATATCATAATGACTTACTATGTGAAGCAATGTTAGGGGCTGAAGTTTTTTTATGTGTCTTCTTGATATAATCTTTTTTGCTAGAATTTCAATCTCATTGTTAAACATGGTGTTGTGACCATTAATCCACAACAGATAAATAGTTGACAGTTTTTGGAAGAGAGGTTAATGCCTTTAATTTTTCTTTAGGGCCATCAGAACATTAACGCTATCTAAGCAGATTACTGTGTTGGTTGGTAAATGGTTACATTTACTATATACTTTACAGCTTGTATGATAAGCTATAGCTTCAGCTGCAAAAATCATACATAGTTATGGCATACTGGCAGGAGTTAAACTGGATTGCAAGCTTTTTTTTGTAGCTTGCAATTGCTGCTCCAACTGTTTTGGAATTTTGAATCATCTCTGTAAACAACCGTAGCCAAGGAGCTTTGTCTAATTTCAGAACAACCAATGATGTATCCATGTTTTCCTTGCAAATCCAGTTGCCATGTTGAAGTTGGCATCTAGCCCTATAACACCAACAGGGTGAAAGGGAGTGTGGAACTAAGAAACAAAAATTAAGTTGCTAGCCGTCTTCTTCTTAAATGTCGAGAGTCAATGCTAGCCCCTCCTTTGAACGAATTAGGTGTAGAGGGTACTGCTCCCAGTCAAATCTCTTTTTAGATGGTGTCTATGTTTTTTAACTGGGATTTAGCTGCATTACTGTAGATTATTGACCCGTTAATCAGCATACGATGGAATAAGGGCTTGGCATACGGGTGTTAGGTTGGGACCCATACTTAGAAGTATATACAATAGTAGAATATTTATCACTTTTTCAACCTGTTGTATGACAACCTTCCAATAAATTTTGTGGTCAGTAGTTAATCTAAAAATTGAAGGCTGAATATTATTGCAGTAGGGCCCTAATTGTAATACTTTGGTTTGTGCAATTTTCCTTTTATGGGATATTATGGCTGCACTAATCCCAGATCCATCGCCTACTGTGAAAATAACCCCAGGACAGAGTTTAATGCCGCAACCGGGAATATAGCGATATCATTGGCAAATGTGATATTTTAATTTTATCCCTCTTTAATGAAGCTTTATATAGTTAATTGGTTTGCCAAACCAGCTTTCAGTTCTTAATTGAATTTTAGTTTTATGTGAAACATTTTAAAACTTTTAGAAATATAAATATGATTTTATTTTTTAATTCATAATCTTTTGTATAATTATTTGGAGATTGTGTTTTTGTTTTTCTAAACCTACGTCATACCTGACCGCATCTCATGATCCTTAAATAATTATTAACTAATCACACACATCTTTTGTATAATTAATATGCTATATTTGTTCCTTTTTGACCTCTGTTTATTGGCATTATCATATCATTTACCAGTTTCCTAAGTAATATAATATAAACTAAAAGCTGTTCATATAGCATTTAACACTAGCAGCAATAAAAAAAATTCCAAATCCAAATTACATGCCCCTTGTTATTGTTTTCTATTGGCTAAAATGCTTTTGATCTAATTAACACTTGGTGTGTTTTCCATGGTTCTATTGTGTTACGATAATTATGAGATAAAAGAACACCTCATTGACCATGTTGATTTATTGAGTCTATCTGATAAATGACTGTGCCGAGCATACTTCATTTACGTGTTTCATATTTTTGATGTAAAGAGAAAATCATTTTTCTCACATTGACCTTTTGTGTTGTAATTTATAATAAAATTTTTATTATAAATCACTTTTATTATTTATATATTTGAAGGAAATATCAACTACTTCGTGAAAAAAATTAACATTTATTTGAAAAGTAGAAAAAACAGAATTGTGGATGTATAAAGAATTCACCAGAAGTTTAAAACATCTTAATGCCACCCATGATATAAATATTCATTTGTCATGTTGATATAGATTGTAAACTAATAGCAGTCAGTTTATTGTCTGTTTTATTATTTAAAAAAATTAAATTTAATTATGAACATTATTTAATTTTAACTATTATATAATATGCATTTTTTTACAGGCTAGAATTGCGTTCCTGCAGGGTGAAAGAAAAGGGCAAGAAAAGCTGAAAGATGATTTAGTTAGAAGGATAAAAATGCTTGAATATGCCCTCAAGCAAGAAAGGTAAATTAATAAGTAATATCAATTACAAAAATAATTTACTAATTGTAATAATTCACCGATTTAACACTTAACTGTGATCCTCAGATAATCAAATGTTTCTGAAACTTGATTTTTCCTTTCTAAAGACTTTTATTTTTATATAACATTTTTTTAAACCTTCAAATGCCTATAAATTATTGATATTTGTCGTAATTTACACTTGTTGTGAGTACAATTTATTAAAATTAAATTTACCATTCACACGTGTGGGATGCCAAACGGAGAGAAATATCACATTAGGGTAGTCTCACACATGTGAGTAGGTATTGTAATTATTTATCCACTTATAGTGAGAGCTAACTACAAAGATATATATAGAAAAATTAATGGGGAAATTCTCACTCTCGCATAGACCAACAGGTCTCTAGTCCAGTCTTGATGGATTCTTGGCATTTTTGATGTTGTTGGTGAATAATATGATAGGAACTAATTCATTCTTTAAAAAGGGGTTGCAAAATAAGAACTAGAGAAAAGACTGATTTGGGAAAAGAGAAAAAGGACTAGGTCTATGGTCTGAGGGCTGATGAGTAATTAATAAAATCGTTACATTAATGCCAGGGGGAGAGTTAATCCTCTTTTGAAAATGCCCTGGTGTAAGCACACTTACTCACCTTAAATGGTTGATATATTTAAACCCCAACTGAAATCAAAATAATGAAAATAAAATATTTGATTAACTTGGGTTGAAATTCTGACAAATGAGACCTGAGTGGTCAGGAACGAAGGAAAATGATCTCACATTTTCTTCTTATGAGAGCCCAAACATGGTTGGTTGTAGACTTAATTTGAAATAATAATGACACAGAAGATCAGAAAGTAGTACGCATTTTGTCAAAAGAATAGGGTGCTTAGTGGGAAAGGGAAGCGATGAATTCGAAAATTTGCCTCACATCTAAGGATACGATCGGAGTATATGAAAAGAGTCAGCGCCTTTAGGTTTAAAGGAATTTTGTTCTGCTTTATGGTCTCAATTTCATTAAAGAAATACAGAGTTACTTTAATGAAGGCATGCTTTAAGAGCTTCTTCCAACTATTTCGCTCAAAGATGAGGGTTTCCAATTTACTTACTGTTCAGGCATAATTCACAGGCTGGATTGTGTAAGGGGCCCTTAAGAAAGACAAGGATTCTAACCCTTTATTTACAGCTGCAGCTTCAATCAATTCGTTTTTTTTTTTTTTTTTTTAAATTTATTTTTTATTTATTAGCTACCTCTTTTACCACTTCCCTTACAATTTTTTTTTCTGAAGTATGTTTCAAAAATCACCCATTTTTTAAACGATGGATTTCTATTTTTTATTACATGTAAAAGTTAGTTGGTTAAATTTTTTTTAAATTAGCTTTTATTTTGGTGGCTCAAAAATGTTAAATTATTATCTCAAGTTAACTCGGGCAAATTGGAAAGGACAAGTTTTGCAATAAACCAATTAAAAAAATTATTCAATTAAGGTTTTTAGTTGAGATAAAAAAGTCAGTGTCACGAACGGGACTCAAACCCACGACCTTCGCTACTCTACCACCTGAGCTATTGTGACTTCGATCCCCTCAGGCACTAACTTCCCATCTCAACCCCACCTTTTGAATTTTCCCTCCTTTTTGCCATTTTTCAAATGTCGTGTAATCTATTTGATTCTCGGCGACAAATGAAATGTTCATGGAGAGCTTTAGTGAAGTATACTTCATTTTAACAAGTCAAGCAGACCATGAAAACTAGTGAATTTAAAAAATTATTATTATTTACAAATGTAAAAAAATAACATAATGTATAAGTAAATGAATAAAACAATAATCATTTAATAAAAATTTAGGTTGAGGTTGGTATGTCTTGAAGCAAGGTGTCACACACAAGGCTACCTCGCAAACGGGGTTGAAGTATCATAATACGATGGTCTCGGTTTTTACTACATACACATCCTTGAAGGAATGGATACCAAATTCAGAAATATTTTCATAATCTGAATCCCTTTTGCAATTATTACTTAAAAACAAAGACAAAAGCTGTTACATTAAGCTCAAAATAAACACAACAAAATGATTACATAAAAACATTTCTGTAGCTATGGGCAGGAAAAATTGCATTTGCTCATATTCACCGGCAGAAGAGCTGCAACAAACATAGCCAAGATAAAATCTACTTAAAAAAAAAAAAAAAAAAAAAAAAAAAAAACCGAGTTAACTCGGGATAATAAATGAGAATTGCATTCATTGAAAACAAGTTATCTCGTGATGTAAGGCAGGGAGTTAGTTAATCATATTGTGTAAATGGCTTATTTTTTTATTGATGTTTATTTTTTCTGGGGCATTCATAGTAGATTTCCCTTTCTTTAGGCATAGTTTGCTATTGGAGTAGTTTCTTTCCAATTGGATATTTCAAAAGGGCATGATATGATTTTCATTATCGTTCTATGAGAAAGGAGGTAAGATTAATTGGCCTATATGATTTTGGTAGGGTAGGATCTTTTTTTTTTTTATTATTCACCATTTGGAATAAAGACCACTCTTAGCTCTCTCTCCAGCAGAGCGGTATATACAATTTTTCTTGCATGTGGTATTATTCATATCTTAATTTTTCATATGTGGTAATTCTGGATATTGAGGTGAGGAAGTGAGGTGGTTGGTGGTCCAGCTTAGAAAATCATGTCAAATATATGTCAATGGGGGGAGATTATTGGTCAACAAGGAGATAGCCAAGATGCAGAAAAGCTTTTTGAAAGATACGACACCAAAAATAGTATCAAGCCTAGAAGGATATACACCTTTTACTGTGTACCTGGGAGGAAAAAAAAACTTGAGATAAAGAATCCCCAAATTAATAGAAATTATGAATGAAGGAGTGAGTGTGGAGTTCAATCCTTTTTAAAAAGATGGTTCCTACTCACATTAAGTTGTTTTGCAACAATCCGGATTTGTGTCACTTTTGCAATTCATGTTGAGAGACGTGTTTGTAAAAACCCTTCAACCTGACGAAGAGCTAAAGGGCTCGAAATCCGGATTGTTGCGAAACAACTTAATGTGAGTAGGAACCATCTTTTTAAAAAGGAAATAATCCCCATGCGAAAAAACAATAGGTTTGGTTGAATAACCATAAGATTCTTTAGGTGATGGAAACAAAAAACAACAAGGTTTTAAAATAACTGTTTGCACAGAGAAATTTTACTGATGAAGGTGGTGGTATGGTTGCACATGAGAATTTCATGAAATTTATAGAGGCATGGTGGACACCGGTTATTGATTCTGCACAGGTTGCTAGCAGGAAGCGCTTGTTGCTGTAGGTTCCCTCAATTGCCACATCAGTGTGTTGATGTTTTTGGTGTAACAAGAAGGCAAGAGATACTCTTGTACCATGTGCGATGCCCCCAGTGGTTTTTGTTATGTGCATGCAAGTTGAAGCACTTTAGCATTTACTATTTTTGATTAATATAGTTTAAAGAGAGCAGGGAAGAATATCAAATGGTATTCTGAGCACAAATAACATTCAAAGGAAGAATCATCTCACACATGAAAGTGGGTTGCCTCAGCAGGGTTTTAGTACTCACATGTGTGAGTGCTCCACAGTTAATGTGTTAATTACAGTTCATTATTTCACATTTATGATGATTTTTTATTTTTCCATTATATTTGTTTTAGAGCAAAGTACCATAAATTGAAATATGGTACTGACTTAATACAGGGTGATATGAAACCACCCACTTTTGAAGATGCAGGGCCAGAAGTTAATGTTGATTCGGAGGCCCCATTTTCCTCTGTTAGTAATTTTACCTGGAAACAAGGTCGGCAACTTTTAAGGCAGTGAGTGTTCCTTTATTACACCTCATGATAATAATCTTTACTAATATCTATTCTAATAAACATTTTTTTCACTTTATTTTTTTTTTATTAAGGTATCTTCAAGAAATAGGATATACTGACACGATAATAGATGTACGTTCAAATAGAACTAGAACTCTTTTGGGTCTTAACAATAATGAGGAGAGTAGTGGAGTGAATGGAAATGACAGTAGCGGTAGTGGTTCGAACAAGAGGGTGAGCAGTGAAGGCCAGGGCGGGCGAAGGACACCTGCCAAAAAACCACAGCCAAGACTTGGTGGCGGACCGTCTTCTTTCCCTGAGGCGATGCTCCTTGAAACAGAAGCAGCAGTTATGGCCAACTTTGAGTTTCTTGCTCAGGCGGCAGCAGCTGCAGCCAACGATGATGTTAGCGATGATATGGATGATGACGATGACCTACAAGAGGACATGGATGAAATAAATGAACAAACAATATGTGCAGTTTCTAAGAAATCAAAAGTAATTAATATATTACTGGAATGTAAATTGTTCTGATGGTAAATAATGTTTAATTATTTTTTGTATTTATTTTTTTTAAAGCAAGGAGTTATGATCCATACAGATGATGTTGATGCTGAAGCTGAAGAAGTTCTGAACGAACTCAACTCATTAACACAAAGTGAAGGGGCTACCAACATATCACAAACTGATTCGCAAACATACTTAAGTCATTATTTTGCTAATTTTCTTCAGTTATAATTATTTTGTGATTTTGTTTGATTAAGAAAGGCATTTCATTTGGACCTTTACAGATAGTAGTAGTATTTATTCTTCTGGGGGCATGAACGATGATATGAAACGAGGGGAGGGTGAAACAATGGATTCTTCCTTAGGCTTGGGTGAACTTGCTCAGTTGACTGTGAACAACGAAGCAGAAGCTGCTTATGATGTATGCTTGTTTTTGATTGTTACAAATTTTTGAACATGCTCAATTGATAATTTGGTTTCAGCTTCCTAGTACAAAAGAATCCTTAAGAAAAATGTGGACTGCAAAGTACACATTAAGGTCGCATTTTGATGGTGTACGAACCCTTGCTTTTCATCCCCAGGAGCCTGTTCTTATAACTGCATCTGAAGATCATACGCTCAAGCTTTGGAATCTTCATAAAACAGTACCTGCAAAAAAGTGAGTAAAGGTGGTTAAATACTTTTTTCAGGTCTTTCTTTAATATACCTACATTTTATAGATCTGCATCTCTGGATGTCGAGCCACTATATACGTTTCGTGGCCATACCGGCCCTGTACTTTGTTTGTGCATGTCACCCTCAGGGGAGCAATGCTACAGCGCAGCTACTGATGGTTCAATTCACTGCTGGAACCTCCCTTCTGTTAATATTGACCCATATGATTCATACGGTGCTTAAGAATTACTTTTTTTCTCAGTTTATTTTGGAGGCTTTTAATCGATAATTCATAATAAATTACAGAGAGTACTGTGCTTAGAAACAAACTGATTGGCCATACAGATGCTGTTTGGAGGCTAGTTACGAACCCTCATAAACAACAATTGCTTTCCTGCTCTGCTGATGGTACTCTAAAAGTGTGGTCACCTGAATCAAAAACTCCTCTTGTACAGACATACTCATCAGAACAAGGTACAATAAATAAATATCTGTTGCGGAAAATAACAAATTCCTAATTTATTGTTTGCCTCAAGACGGTATACCTACTTCCTGTGATTTCGTGCGTGATGAAACTGATAAAATGGTTGCGGCATTTACTTCTGGCCATTGTGTAGTGTTCGATCTACCCACTGGAAAACCTGTGACAAGGCTAGAATCTTTGCAAGTATGTCAAATTATACTTTGCTATATTTTTCTGCTTTAAACAAGGAAAAAAAATTAATTTATTTATTTTATTTAACACATTCAGTGTGCATGTTATGTTTGCCATGATAAAGATTACTAATTCTAGGATGTATCATGACATACATGATGAGATTAACAGGCTGGTTTTCAAAAGAATCTCTGTTATTTCATACTTTTGGCATTTTCTTCACGATACTCCGATTAAAAACTAGCAGGTTTTATTGAGTTCAGTATATTTCAAGTTTTCGAATAAGATCTTGCGCCTCTGGGAAAGTTAAATTTTTACCCAGGATATTACCAACAAAATATAAATATATTTTATTTTGTGGATAGTAATTTTTGTGATATTGTAAGTCCCAAATAAATTTAAATTGTAAAAAAAAATTGTATGTCTTGGTAACTTTTTGGGGAAGCACAAGCATTGAATGTGTTAAATAAGTGTAGCACTTATAAAGGGATAAATAATTTTGTGTTGGATTATGTGCAAATTTGTTTGTAAAACAGAATTCACTATTTTTCGTGGTCCGCTTGACCAATTAATAACATTCAATTAATTAAGGTTTTAAGTTGAGATAAAAAAGTCATTGTCACGAGCGGGATTCGAACCCATGACCTTCGGCTTGATATGCCGAACTCTGCCACTTGAGCTATCGTGACTTCGAGTCGACTTGAAGTCACGATAGCTCAAGTGGTAGAGTAACGGCGTATCAAGCCGAAGGTCATGGGTTCGAATCCCGCTCGTGACAATGACTTTTTTATTTCAACTTAAAACCTCAATTAATTGAATGTAAAACAGAACAATGAATTTGTCATATTGTTGAAGCCTTATCAATTTCGGGAGCACAAGCCCTCCCCTCTTCAGTCTACGTTGTCAAATCCCTGAAATCGACATCGCTTCAATAAATATGTCGAATGGTTGTATGTTCCTGAAATTTTTTAAAAATATCTTCACATAAATCAACTAGGAAGGTAAGAAGAGGAGAATAAACAGCATAAAGTTTTGTCCATATTACAACTTACATTGATTGTGAATGGCAGTATTTAATTTTGTATTCCCAGACTTTCTAATTTTGTGCATTTTGTTTATCACAGGATTTAATAGGAAACGAAGTTGGAAGGAGGCAGATTTATAGGATAGTCTGTCACCCGCTGCTGCCAGTTACAGTTACGGCACATGAGGACAGACACATACGATTCTTTGACAACAACACAGGAAAAATGATCCACTCTATGGTCGCACATTTAGATGCTGTAACATCTCTCGCTGTTGACCCCAACGGACTTTATCTTCTTTCTGGAAGTCAGTGTTACACAAAAATATTTTGATATCAAACAAAAATGGGTTTTATTACTTTTTGTTTCTAGGTCATGACTGCAGCATACGCCTGTGGAATCTCGATAGCAAAACTTGTGTGCAAGAAATTACGGCCCATAGGAAAAAATTTGATGAAGCAATCTTGGATGTAGCTTTCCACCCTACACGACCTTTCATCGCTTCAGCTGGGGCCGATGGAATTGCTAAAGTATTTGTATAGTAAGTAAATCCAGGTTATTGTCACCAAGTTTTTCTTTGTCAAAATACAAACCCAAATTTATATTTTAATGTAAAGACTAGATTTATGTTTAATTGTTTTTTAAAGATTTATAATTGAATAGTATTTCAAATGTCTTATTTTCCTCTGGGTGTTGTTTTTTGACGAAGAAAATTAGTAACAAAGATCATATTTCTTTTGCACACTATGTGTGCCAGCTTGTTCGATCGGTTTGTACCGATAAGAGTCAGAGAGAGTATGTGTATTATGTTGTATAAGTGATATGGTTTTATATGTTGTCGCACCTTTCTTTTCATTTCCATTGTAGTTGAAATAGCCATCTGTTTATGCTGTACGAATTATGGTTTTGCAGAGCTATTAGATCATCGCTTTTTACTGCCATCCACTAATGATTAAATGAATTTGTTTTTCATAGTTAATATAGAAGATCGTATAATAATTTCTTTTAATATAGTAGGCTGTTGCAACATGAAACTAACCGTAATTTATTATAACTTATTTTCTTCTAATAATGAGTGGGGAATTATTGAATCTTTAGTAATTTTATATAAAAAGTAACTTTTCTTTTTGTATTCACTTGTTGTTATTGCACATTTATAAATTTCCAATCTTCTGTCATTCAAAATAGAAAGGTACAATGATTTCTCCTCTAGTTTCACAAGTTCTCTTGAAGGTGTTATAAATGTGCTGAAATGATTCAAAATTCTTGTGTTTCATTATTTAGTATTTTATTATTTAAAGCAGTGGTATATTTGTTTTCATCATTAAATATACCACTATCTAGGTGTAATGTTAATGTTTGCACTATGTAATATTCTGAATACAGCATGTCCACTATAAATGAATAGATTAAATAGGATTTCTAGTCAAACCAGTTTTCCTTTTAGTTTGGTTACCTATTTGTTGGAATTCTATCTTTGTCTAATTAAAAAAGATATATAAGAATATAAAATAAATACAAATTTTACTGAGGGAAGATGGATTTTGAAACATTTCAATAACATTTTTGTATATTGTAATTTAAAATGAGCCTTCAAAATCAACCTCATGTTTGTGATTAATAATTTGTTTATTTATTTTTTTCTGTGATTGTTTTTATATCGTGTATTTTAGAGGAAACTAGAAAACAGACTGGGGAATAAAAATCATAGTTAAATATCACTATTTTAATTAATACATTATAATAGTTGATAATGTTTTGAGAATTTGGTTATTCACAGAAAAAAGGTATAAACAATTTATTCAATGAAACTATTATATTAGTGTGTGACTAAACAATGCTCATTACCACAAATTAACAATGGCAAATCCTTTTTTTTTTGTGTTTCATTTTATAATGAACATATTCTAGTTACATGCCAGTTTTGAGTTTTGTCTTGTAGTTGTGCAAAATTTAAATAGTTCATTCATTCATTCATGAAAAAATTACATAATAATAAATAAAAGGAAATTAATCGTTAATTCCTTGATATAAATTTATATACTATAGCTCTGTGATGACAATTCAGTTAGTTGTAGCTTGATAGTTTGAATGTTTTAAGGATGACATATTTTATAAAAAAAAAATTAATAAATAAATAAATTTAAAAAAGTGAGTTTTTGTATTTAAGTGAATTAAGGAATGGAGATTGCAAATTTTTTCATAATGATTTAGTCTTGTATATTATTATAAATTACTTTTATCTTTATTTAAATACAACATTAATATATATTACATATATATTAATATATTTATTCGCTTTTTGTTTGTATTATTTCATTTCAAATTAAAACAAAATGCTTGGGATTGTACTGTACCATAATTTAATATAATATGATGTGAATAATTTCATAGTATAGAGTCTAAATAATTTATTATTGAATGGAAAAATGTATTTAAAAATATTTAGTCCATATTGTGCATCAATAGTATAATTTTTCAACTTATATATGTGCCCTTCTGTTATACAAAGTTCAGCAACTCGCATTACAACTGTAAATTGCAGTTCTACCCTCTTATGCTAATTATATTTATGTTCAAAAAAAGAGAAAATAATTTGGTAAACTATTTTTAGTATATGTTCTATATTCACATTATCCACTGTAAATATGAAAATGTTTGTTATATTTTTTGGTTATATAAGTATCAAGGATTCAAAAGTAACTTTCTGGATTCTAAGTATAGTAAATATTTTTATTTTAAATGTACATTATAGTGTCAAAAAAAGAAAAAAAAAGAATTTCAGCTATTTGTACATAATTTATTAATAATAAGTAGTAACAATAAAGAGGAATTATAACATTGTAATTATACCCAATTAATATAACTTTGTTATTAATGTGGTCCCACTTGTATATCGTATTTGGCACTGTGTTAATGATTAATTATATGCTATATAATAATAGAACAAAATACATGTAACAAAAAGGACCATTGTTTATGATATATAATAATAACATTAATAATACTAATTGCGATATACATTGTCCATGTAACAAAAGAAAATGTGAAAGGTAATATGTACATAGCAATGGTGTGTAGAATGTGTTCTAAATTTTGATTTTAGAAAAGGCGGGAAATTTTGTTTCTTATGTCTATTATAGATAAGACGCATTACATCAAACAACAAATGGTAGGTAGGACTTCCCTAGAGTATTATAAAACTGAACTAATAAAAAAGTGAAAAAAAGAAGGATAATATTGTAAATATGTATGATTTATTTAGAATGTATGATTAAAAAAAGTTAATACACAAAAATCTTTGAAGCTTTTCACTTATGTCTGTTAAGAGTTTTGTTTTGGATTTTTAACTTTCTCCAATTGACAACACCGTAACTCTTTTTTGACTTTTTGTTCAGAAATCATTTAAATATGTTTATAAATTTATTAATTTAATTTTGCGTTTAAATATTAATTGTATCTGTTTTCAGCTAAAAATCATACTAAAAATATTATTTACATAAAGTTAAGTATAATGTCAGCAGCATGACAATTCTTTGGGCCCATATTGGCCAAGTTTTTGGAAAATTCTATTCATCCATCCGTTAATCCAAAGACAGTTCCAATTGCAAAAAGGTATATAATTTTGGAAAGGAGTTGGTTGTAATCTTTTGATGGCATCCATTCTGATTTTGTGGAACTCCATAATGAGATGAGTAGGTATTGAATTGTCTTTTGCACAATAGGCATTTTGTCAGACGTGTTTCGGTGTTTCGGTCTAATATAGACCATTTTCAGTGACCAAATAACAAATTTCATACCCTAAAGATAAAATTAACCTTATGAACAGAAGTGGAGGGAGTATATCATCTAACATGTCCATGTGAAGCGGTTTACATCGGCCACACATGCATGAAATTCAGCCAATGTATTCAAGAACACAGCAAGAGGACGGAGAAAAATAATAAATCCTCCTTTGCTGAACACAAATGACCACACTTTTCATTAGATATCAGATATTAAAATTCTTCAAAACATACCATGCTCCAAAATCACTAATTATTAAGGACTGAAAAATTAATTAAACAAAACCCAGATCCTGTACTATTGACTGTACTGCTTCCCGTAATAAAGTAATAAATGCTTATTCTGGAAAAGACAATGATTCCCTACCCATCATCTTGGTTGTAATAATGCAAAAAATTACATACCATCCTTGTGCAATTTTATTTAAACAAATGATTATCTTCAAACCACCTGAAGTACCCTTTTTAATCTTAGTTTTTACCAATGCAACAAGTATCGATCTTAGTTTTCTTTTTTTGTTTTTTATATTTTTATTTTTTTATTTATTTATTTTGTAATAAAATACTTCATGGGTAAGTAATTTTGTTTCCCACTTTGATCAATCTGCACTGCAATCTTTATATAATTGTCGTATAGAATCAGTACTACTGAATAAGGAATAATATTACCTTAAGTACAAATTTGGTATTGCAAATATATGATGCATATAAAAACAATCATAAAAATAATAAAAGAGAGGGTTAGAATGACAGGAAGGCTTTTGACCATCAATCCTTCCAAGAACCTGAGTAGGAGAAAACAGACAGAATAGGTCGTGTATTTTTGGGACAAAGGTTTTTCTATTTCTAGAGCAGAAATCACTAGTACAAAATAACATGTATAGCTGTATTTGCAATACAACGCTTGGCGATGCTGAGCCAAACGGTGTAATCTTGATTTGCTGTTACTTCAAGCAAAATTGTGTGTACTATTATTATATGTTAAGGGTGATTGAGGAATATCGAGTACTCCACCACCCTAATTATGTGAATGGTATGTAAATTGAAAAGAATGCATTTAAGACTGAATGAGAGTGAGAGTGTGTGCTTAGATTTAAAAACTGACTTGGGCCTTTGACATCTAACTTTCGAGGTGGAATGGAGGTCTGACCCCAGGCCGCCAAAACCCGAGGTGGGTGATTTATTGTAAATCACACAAAAACAGGTATTGTTGGCAGGTTTTTTTTAAAATAAGTTGAAAGGTCATGAGCCAAATTAGGACTATTTTACCTTTGCGGAGAGAGCCAGGGATACCTCTCACTGTTCTTATAACTATAGTTAACTACTTTCGTGGTCCGCTTGACTTATTAATACATGACAATTAATTAAGGTTTTTAGTTGAGATGAAAAAAGTTAATGGCACGAGAGGGATTCAAACCCACGACCTTCGGCTAGAAACGCCGCTGCTCTACCACCTGAGCTATTGTGACCTCGACCTTCGAATCCCTCTCGTGCCATTAACTTTTTTTCATCTCAACTAAAAACCTTAATTAATTGTCATGTATTAATAGGTCAAGCGGACCACGAAAGTAGTGAACTAATGATTTAAAAAAATGAAGTACACTTCACTAAGCTCTCCGTCGCCAATTCAATTGTCGTCGAGAATCCAAACCGATTACACGACATTTGAAAAACGACAAAAGGAGGGAAAACTCATAAGGTGAGGTTGAGATGGGGAGTTGATGTCCGAGTGGATCGAGGTCATGATAGCTCAGGTGGTAGAGCAGTGGCGTATCTAGCCGAAGGTCATGGGTTCGAATCCCTCTCGTGCCATTAACTTTTTTCATCTCAACTAAAAACCTTAATTAATTGTCTTATTCGAACCCACGACCTTCGGCTAGAAACGCCGCTGCTCTACCACCTGAGCTATCGTGACCTCGACCTAAGAATCCCTCTCGTGCCATTAACTTTTTTTCATCTCAACTAAAAACCTTAATTAATTGTCATGTATTAATAGGTCTATAAAATAAACTATATTGCACAGTAGGGGATGTGGCACCAGTGTCTTTTTCCATTGGTGACCATCGTAGTACTGTGGGGCCACAACGCACGACACCCCCTCTCTGTATTATGAGCATTCATTAAATTCTTATCAGTGAATAATTATTTAAATTATAGGGAATGTGACAATTGTTTGATTCACAGTTAATTTTTTTAAAAATTATTTGAGGTTTTATTGTCTTACAGTTTCTTTATTTATCCTTGTTCTTATTATTTTATTATGATTATTATTATTTTTAGTTGTTTATTGATTTTACTGCTTTATTTATTTGCTTATTTATTTATTTAAATTTTCATACATAGGGTATTTAGTAGATATTTTAAGAAATTCATACAATCTATTTAAACAGGAGGATTTATCACTCAATATATCTTTTAAATAGTTTGGAAGATTGACAGATTCTATATTTGCTTTAAGGTGAGTGCATTCTGTTAAACCATGGCAAGCGTTATAGAGTGGTGGTGGTTCTTTGGCCACGAGGAAGCCATGTCTGTTAACAAGTGTGGCCTTTCCTCAGTCTAGACAACATCACTTCTTGTCTGTTCTGTCGAGACGAAAATTCCCATCTTTTGACAGAGCCCTTTGTCTTTTAACTTGTTGTTGTTGATGTTGTACCAAGCTTGTTTCTAGTCTATTCATATAACGTTCATAAAGTGAGATGCCAGATAGTTACATGGGAATGATGGTACAGGGTTGTAAGATGTAATAGTGCCTTTCTCCAGTAAGTCAGCCTGAGGGTCCTGCAGTCACACACATAAAATTGCTTTGATATTTTCTGACCTTAAATATTTGATTTGGAGGAGGATGTTGTAAATTAGGGATTTTTGGAGAAAATATTTCTGGCAGCCAGTACTGCAGACAAGGATACACTAGTAAACATATATTTCTTTGGATTTCTTGTATGTGAAAGTGACACTAAATTTTATGGCCAAGAGTTCCATGGTGAAGTTACTCCTTTTGCATGCTGCTGTTTTAGATATGTATGTTTTGAACCCGTCGTTTTCTAACCAACTATTGGTTTTATTTAGTGTAAGTTGAATTTGTTGCTTTCCTTTATTGTTTAGGTTTTCACTGCTGCAAAAATGCCCAAATCATCAGCATATAGCATTGCCTGGATGGGCAAATATAGTGAAGATGTTAAGGAATAAACAGAAGAGAGTGGCACTGGGCATACATCCCTGAGCAACTCCAATACTCATCAGAAAGGGGGAAGCTATTAAAAGTTCTGTTTTTTTAAAAAGTTAAAAAACAAATGGTGTGATCGGTTTGGGTGCATGAATTCTAGCTACTGACTTGCAAACCTTTTGAGTTGAAAGCTGTGGGTGTTGTGACAGTTATGTTTTGTGTTGCGAGCATGATTATGATCATCCAATCATGATTGGAATGAAATTGAATTTTTATCATGGTTGCCATTAGGGTATATCGGGGTCCAAAATATTTATTCTGTTCATTAACTATTAAATAATGTTTGGTACCTGATTACTGAGTTGTTCAATCGTGGAAGATGGTAAAGAGGGGGTGGGGGTAATGAGGATGCCGATGGGACTGAAGATTCAACTACCGTTTGGGTATAAGTTTGCTGGGGGTTTCATGTGGTTTTAATAGCGTTTCTGCTTGTTTAAAAAAATCTTTTTACTGGTGTAAATGTTTTTGATTTTTTTTCTCAAACAAAACATACATGGTGCGTTTTTTTGTCATATGTTGGATGTGGCCCAGTGCAATTGAGCATACGTTAACAGTACTTTGACGGTTGTTGGTTTCATGAATGGAGTCTTCCCATTCCCATAATTTCTTGCCTTGCAGAATTTTCTTGTGTGTGTGTGTAAATGGTAACATGAAAAACATAGCATAGGATTGGGTATATATTGTCTCACTTTTACCTGTAAAAAAAATTGAGAATATTTTCTCTGAAATTGTTGGTTTTTGAAAGTTAATAATAAGAGTCAGTATGTCGACCGAGCCATTTCATGATTCTAAATACCTTGCTACTCCTTGGGCTTGCAGTACATTTTCAATTTCCTTTTCTGAGCAATCTATTAATTTGGAGACAGTAATTACCCATTTTGAAAAGTTCAAAGCGCGATGAAGATTAAACATTGCAGGTAAGGTCCTGGGGTAGAACCCAGCGGCCCTGCATTCGAACTTGACATACTTACAAATGGGCTTTTTTCGGCACCCACAGGGTTCATATATAAAATATAAAAAAAAAATAATAAACACATGCACTGGTGTATGTATGAACTTTTATACTTATATAGTAAATCAGTAATCAGACATGTTATATACAGTAAATTTAATTTGTTTATTGTCCCTTTCCCAACACCAATACATATATGTATAAACGTTTTGCAGAAAGAAAAAAAAAATCAGAGTAATAATTAAAATTATTATTGTTGTTTTCTTCTGAAAATTGTTTCTACTAACTTACTCTGACAAAAATCACATTTTATTATATTATATGGCCATACATTTGCATTATTGTATGTACTACTTATATATTTTTTTAATAATATTATTTATATATTTTTGGAATATATGCTTGTATATAATTTATTATACTTAATGTTTTAGCCTGTTCGCTGAGACACTGTAATCATGGAAGTCCCACACATACGTTGTGGCATTAAACTATTGTTTCAATCAGGTTCATTCAAATCAAATAATTTACCACAAATTTCGTCTCATTTGATCTGATTTTATATTTGGTTGGGTTTGTATCGTACCTAGGTATCAAGCTTATTATAATTTTCTGTACGTCCACGTGGGCTGTAAAGGCAGGTTATTTATCAAGTGGTGATCTCAATTGTACTTACTTTTTCCTTCCTGAATATAATTGTTCATTCGGTCCAATAATTGAGATTTATTAGTACTTAACCTGTCCATTAGTTTTTTTTCCGCATTTTCCCTTCAGAACAAACCCTTGATGCTTTATATTCTTTATAATCATAAATCGCTTACCATTAATTAAGTAAATTTTGGATGCAATTTCCAATCATGTATGTCTTTTACTTTGTTATAATAATACAAAAAAATCACCAAAAGATTCAAGACATTGGTGAATGTTCAAGTGAGTATGCACTTTTATATACATATGCCATGAAAAGTTTGGACCTAGAAATCTTAGACATTTATTTTGTCTGCATCTTTAATCATATGGTACAACATTGATACAACCATTATTGGACAAATTAGGGTGGCAAACACTGGTTTTTGAATTGTATAGGGAGTGGTATTTACACACCTAATATGTTTAATTGGTTTGTGATTGTCTCGTACAAATTTTCATTCAATCAACACTTCTAAGAGTTTTTTCTATTTTACCACTCCATGTAAAGTCTTCATTAGTTACTTTCCTTTGTATTAATTAATTTTATTTAAATTTATATTAATTATATTAAATTAATTTTTATGAATCCCTTTTTTGACGCGTTTATTTTATTAGCAAACTTTTATACATTAGTTGTCTTGTAATTACCGGTGCTCAATGTGAGAAGTATTTGTTGAACCAAAGTTATGATTTATATTTATTCAAAAAGTAACATTGTGCTACATAAAATTGACTTATGTTTGCATTTGGCAATTGTGTACTTATGTAATTACATTAACTTATGTAATGTTTGACAAGAATTGCATCAATTTAAATACCATTTTTGACATTTCTGGCTCTGTTCTGAATTTACACAATAATGTCCCAAATTGTTACAAAATCATTAGAGTAATAATTTTATAAAATGATCATATTGACTGATGTATTTGGTTTGTATATTATATAATTAATGTTATAGTGGAATTTACACAAATTAACAAAATTGCTAATTATTTTAAAAGATTTTCTGTATAGGTGGAAGCTTTACTAGGTTTTAGACATTGTCAGCTTGGAGTACGTTCTGTTCGCTTGCAAGAGGCATGTATTGTTCGTTGTCTCTGTAGTATGGCTCAGCTGCTTGTGATCTATACATCCTTTCTTGCCTGTATACTGGATGGTATCTTAAAAAAAAAAAAAAATGGTTTAAAGAGTTTTCCTTGATATTGCAAAAGCTTACCTTCCGTTTTCATCCATGTAAACCAAGTCAGTTATAACCCTTGGCTCCCTATAAACGTTGTTGGTCAAATATCTTGAGTTTAGGGCTCTACCTCGTCCTCTGCTACCCATAACCCATATTGGATTTATGTAGCCATTAAGCTCTTGTCCAATGCAGGCGCATATCAATGACAAAAAGAGGAAGAGAAGTCGCTGCAATTATTTTGTTCGTATAATGAAAATGTTGGGTTTATGAACTAGTTAATTTTTTACATACAATTTTACATTAGTACCTATGTATGCATTGGAAATAAATTAACAAATGGAAACTCTAGTTTACACTAGTTACACCACCACAACTCTCTCTACTAGTTTACACCATCTTATTAGTGTCATATTAAATAATAATTTAAAAAGAATTTATGTCTAAATCGGTGCACAATGATTATTGTTTGTGGGAAAAAAATGTAAAAACATGCTGAGGAACACACACAATTCAGTTATAAATAAGAAGAATAAATATGTAAATATAAATATATAAATAAAATAAAATTTACCAAGATAAATATACTACTTTAAGTAGTAATCTTAAGTATTAAGAAAGATTAAACAAATAATTCATTGATCAGTTCCCCTGGGGAAATAGAGATTCCTATTTTATAATAAATTCCCCGGATCACTATTTATTTCTATTTTTTATGTGTAAGGTGTACATAGTTTGGACATGGCTTTTAGCCTCAAAGTGTTTAGCTTAAATGTATATAATGATGGTGTTGGTCTATGAGTCTAAACTCTCGCAGGTTTAGATTTGTCTACTTGTTTTGGCTTGAGTGAGGAATACTAAATCAACTTTTTCAAATTTTTATTTTGAAAATATAAAAATATTAGTCAGAGAAAGTAATACAAAGAAAAGCAAAACACTAGAAAATTTATATATACATTTTTTTAAAACTATTTAATAAGAAAACGTAATGTAAACAAAACAGATATTATGTATACAGAAATATATACAAAATAACGTACAACATATATAAAACAATCTTTAAAATGTGATGTTTCATAATAAATTGGTTTTTATAATAAAACAAAAAGAAAGAAAACGAATAAGAAAGAGTGAGATGTTAGTAATGAAAATAGGAGTGAATAAGCAAAGTAAAAATATAAACATCATATTATGTAAATAATAATTCGTATTATGTATGGCATAATAATTACGTATTCGTATCTCATATTATGCAGTTCAAAAATTAAAATCTTAGGAAGACAGCCAGGCATGTTGGCAATTTGTCTTTTCCATTAGCTATTAAATTTTTTCATTGTTGTTGAAATCAATTTTTTAAAATGTTTTCGTGTGTTACAAATAAGGTAAATGTTAGTAATAAATTAATTATAAAATATATTAAATATTATGAATAATTTAATTATAAAATATATTAAATATTATGAATAATTTAATTATAAAATATATTAACTTTTAATAAAAATAAATAATGCAAAATTCCAACTTTTTACAGAAATAAAATATTTCTATTTGAAAATGGGACAGGATGCCTAAACTTCACTAAAACCATGAATTTTATTTTTACAAAACACGTACAAAAAAGAACTTTTCATCTATGGATTAAATAAAAATTAGCTTCAAGTTCCTACACTCAACGTATTTGTCACAAGTTAGCAATAAAAGATTTTTTTTAAACTAAAAGAATCGATAATAAAGCTTTAGTGCTGTCTTTCTAGGATATTTCGAAATTGATTTTGGATTTGTGTTGAATACTTAATGACGAACGATACAATTGAAATGTTCAGTTGTTTAAAGTAAATTATTATGAAATAGATCAGATGATTGTTAGGCCTATTTGACGAGAACCTGTGACTATTATAGAAAATTGGCCTTTTGACGGCAGCCGACAAAAAATAATTAAGTATGAAAAGGACCCATTAATGTCAATCAATTACTGCGAAGTGGAAGCCACAAAATGCTTTGTAGTGAACATAAAAACTGACAAACAAAAGGTAAAATTAAATCTAGAAAATCGTTATTGAAAGGATGCATATATTAAAAATAGGAAATTCTGGCAGTGGAATAATAAAGGAAGCAAGTTGGAAGCGAAAAAAAGGCGTATTCAGGACGAGTACCGGAAGCAAACAGAAGTGGACAAAAACAGGACTGCGGGGGCGAAAGAGATGACCTGAGAGAGAGAGAAAGATATATCTGGACGCATGAGCATGGATTACCCCGGGATTTTGGGAAAAATAAAACATTTTAAAACTTCGCGAACAAAGACAATATTCTAGTAGAATTACTGGTGTTCGATTGTGTTTGGTAATTTTTCGCTTTGTTCTAATGCTGAATCCATATATTGATCAATTGCTATTTTTCTTTTAAGGGTGAGGAGGGTATTTGTTTAAACAAAAAATAATGGTAAATAGATCAAATGGTCGTTAGTTCTACTCGAGTAGAGGCGCAATCGTACACGGGCAAGAAATTAGAATGAACTGTCTTCACTTGTGAATTTGTAATTATAGAACTAAAGCGGGTACTTGTGAAGAAATTGTGTATCTTTATATTTATCGCACAATGAAGTGCAAATTATGTTAAAAAGCAGCTAAAACAAAGCATAAACTGTCTTCCTTACCATTTTCTGTTAGTAATCGCTGTTTTGCGTCTAGGAAGAGTACTGTGCGCAATTCAGGAAACAGGATATTTATACCTTTATACATGAAATGACGGTCCTTGGCGGTCAGGCTACGTGAGTCTTTACAAGACTTAGCCAGCCGTGGTTGGTGTTGCTCATTGAGGTTTTTGGTCAGTTGGTTTTTTTCACCTGCAAAATATAGGTGAGAAGCAGTTAATTCATTTGCCATTGAACGAACAACGGATGGAAAACGGGAAACCCCATCCTTGTGGGAGATGGTTTAAAGAATATTATTAAATAATACATAATAAATTCCCCAGATCTCTGTTTCTATTTTTATTGCATATGTTTGACTTACTACCACATTGATTTTTTTTTACTCTGGTTTTCTGGTGGTGTGTTACCGTTCCAATCATTGATGCCTAAGCTTTAAAAAGTGGTGAATAATTTGAATCTAATAGCTTATGGATTTTTAAAAGGTCACCTTTTTAACTTCTTAGATGTATGTTGCTTAAAACTATATTTTTTAGTTGTTTCGGATGTTTAAAAATGCGTATTGTATGACAGGATGGTACTAAAAATTAGGTTCCGAAGACTAATAACTTTTTTTCAATTGTAGAATATTTTAGATTTGCTAGACAAGCATGGCTTTCTAAATGAAAATGGCAAGACTAAGAAAATAGAAAATAAGCCTCTCGATATAATTGTTTCTATATTATAATTAACTATTAAAAAATCAAGTATAAGGCAATCAAGGAAAACACTCAGTCCTTCATCAAGCTTTATTTTTATTTAGAATTTATCCTCTTTATTATAAAACTATTATTAAAAGTTCACAAGGTTAACAAATATGAAGAGAAAGTAAGCATATTCCTCTTCTCCAAAAAGGCAATCTTTTGTTACACATTTTAAATGAATTTATTGTACGTGTCGACAAACAAAGATATAGTTCACTTTTATATATTATTCGGAAAATGTGAGATGCGGTCTGGTGTGATGTAGGTGTCAGAAAAACATTTTCTTTATCGTGCCAATGTTTCGATCTTTGTTGAGATCATCTTCAGGACCTGGGATTTACATTGTTTAAATTTAACTAATACAAGTCACACCAGACCGCATCTCACGATTTCCGAATAATTATCGACTAACGGTCACTAATCACCACACACTCTTATTTATAGTTTTGATGGTAGGAGTTGGTCGGCAAGTCGGTGAACACATGTTGAATCGGCATTGGGTCCCAAATGGTCCGTCTACATAACAATCCGCGAGTGTAGATAGACTCAAAAGCGACCCAGTGAAAGATCAACAATACATCTATTTATTTAAAATAAATAATACGATAAGGGTTAAGATAATTTTAATTCAATACCTTTTTAACAACTTCCTTTTTGCTTTTTTTAAGTTCTCGGCCTCGAAATGTTCGTTCTATATGGAAATGATAATAAATACTGAAGTTGGAGTGGGTAATAATTCACTAACTGCAAGTTCATGGAGATGATCGTAGATGTACATAAATACATGATTTTTTAAATCCTCTTGTTTCTATTTAATCGATGCCATTCGGGGATACTAAAGGTAATATCGTAATATAAGAGGTAATATATCTTTTAAAAGATTTTTTAAATAATCTTTAAATAAGCTCTCTTTAAAGATCTTTTAAAGTAATTTAATATTTTAAGATGTTTAGATTTATATTTTCGGTAAAAATTGTACGTTGGTTTAAAAATGTGCTTTTACATTAAAAACACTAATTTACAATATACACAGATGGTCAAAATTAACTCAAAACCCTTAATTCAAGTATTGTTCTAATAACTCGAAATCCATTATAAAAACAGCTAACATTTCAACGACATCTAAAAAGTAGTTTTATTCAACAGTTTTTAAGTTTTATGTGTACCGGAGGTGTGAGTTACGAGTTCGAATGCCTACCGCTAGATCTACGATAACGTTTGCTTCACGATTTTTTGTAATAACTCGAAATCAATTTTGAAATCTGGGGAAACACCTATGGAACAATTTGTAGAAGTCGTGAGGAGCGGTCAAGAATGAAGTAGTTAAAAAAAAAAATTGCCTCGATGTAGAACAACCTATTGGGTCGATTGGAACAAGAACTAAGCTCGCAAACCATACAGTTTCCGACAAAAACGCAAAAAACAGAAAAATAAATTAATTTTTTGATTTCTTCGACGTATAACACTACCTGTTTACTTAAGCGGGATATCATTACTCCTTGTCAACGTACTTTACTTGGGGCTTCACGGCTTACTTGGATTCCGCACCCAAGACTAAAACGAAAGAACAAAACCGGCGTTACAAACTGTTATCAGCATTACTCGACAGACGATCAAAACTTCTACTGAATTACAAAAGATTATACCATGGCTCTCGAACCTATGTGGACTTACTGTATCCAACTCTGGGGACAGCCAAGCATTCTAACTCCCAACGGCTCCAAAGATTCCAATCAAAAGTCCTAAGTAATAATTAACTCTGGTTATTATGTATCAAACCTCACCCTACACTGAGGCTTTAATATTCATTTTATTCAGAAGTAGGAAAGCACTAATACAAAAAATTCCATCTATTCCTTTTCACACAATGTCTGTGCGCTCAGTGTCACAACCGATACAGATAATCTTCCCTGTCGACTGAGTCGATGATGCCCTACATAGTGTTGAAGAAAATAGAAAAAGTTGTCATATTTATTTCTTCTAAACGAGGCTCACCAGTAGGTGATATCTCCTCACATATTTTTCACGTCAATTTTGTTGTTACAGGATTTTTAACGTTGTAATTGTTTTACAGATGTAAATATCAATAAAAAAAATAGTTAAAATCAAAATAATTTTTAAATCCTCATGCCCCTTCAAGGCGTCTGAAAGTTCGATAGTCGTCGGATTTTCTGGAACTTTTTTCTGTCAAGAGATCTCACTTCCATTCAAGAAGAACATTTAACTATTGTACAGTTGTAAATATCAATATAATAGAAATATATGTAAATTGTTTATTACTGTATGTTTTTGGTACCAGGTCACCCTTTCTTGTTTAACAAAAGTGTAAAAGTGGTATTTTTTATTTTCTATTATGCCGTACTATGTACTACAAGAATACAACATTGAAGTCTAACATATTCTGTTTTTTGTTTTACTGTTATTTTTTTTAAATAATAATAATTTATTTATTATAAGTATTTAGCATTCTTATTT